AAGAAATTAATAAATGATACTATAAAACAAAAAAATATTATAGAACACAAAAGCATATTGAACTGATTTAAATAAAGAACTGAGTTTGAATTTAATATTCGATTTGAAATCCTTCGAATATATAATTGTTATCCCATTTTTTTCCGTAATCTTTTCTATATTTCACCCCATTCACTTTTCCATTATTCTCACAAGCGGGTGAAAAAATCGCATTGCGAAAACATGCAGTGCTCAACCCTTTTTTTAAGCGATCAAATCTCCACTTTTTCACACATCCCCGACGGGCTCTTTTACATTCTCAGCAGCGTAATAACATTTATAAATAATCTCTATAAAACCCCTTTCAACTTGGCATCCATTACGGACACATTTGTCCGCACAGCAGACTCGTTCGTCCGTTCGTTCGTTCGTTTGCACGAGGACACAGATCCTGGCAGACCATAAAATCAAATCAACTGAAAAGTAACAAAAAACTTGGCCAACTAAATGCAATTTATGAAAAACGCACACACTATCGGTGTCGTCCAGTGTGCGTATACGTAATATATATACATATATATATCTGTTTGTATGTGTGAGTGACAGTCCGACAATGAAGCAATGCAGCCGCTCCTTGGTTGTCATGTGTGTATGTGTGTGATTTGTGTGTGTGTGTGGATATACTGAGTGCATTTTGTGCGTTGGCAGCTCATCGTTGGACTTTGTAATTTCATTAGGGCAGTAGGACAAACGCTCACAGCCACAGAAAAAACACACCCACATACACACACACCCAACCCAGAAGAAAGGAAAAAATCGGTTATCTTAAATTCTTCCATATATTCACCTCAAATAAAAACCGTATGAAAACAAAGCTAAAACTCAATTTAAAATTATTTAGATTTTACTTTACCTTGGTCTCCATATATAAAATTAAATAAAACAAGCTAACAATTATCAAGATTATGGTATATATATAAAACTGTTATAGATTCCTTCTAGTATTCAAAATCAAATTAATTATTCCAATTTGTTGCCCAGTTTTATGTTATTAAATTGTTAAAAACCACAAGACATTTCTGTAAGAACCTTATTATTGTTTTTCCATTTTTAAAATGTCCTTATGGTAAGCCCACACAATATTTTTAGAGCTTTTATATTAGGACAAGTGTTGAGCCACGGGAAAATAAAAATGTTTGCCTTTTCCCCTGTGCACAAATGCATTTAAGTTGAGCGAAAACACACACTCACACACACACACAGTCGCACAAACACACACGAACCAAGTAAGGACGTGTTAAGGATCTGAGCTGAAATTCAGTTCACTTTCACTTTGGGGCTCAAGCCGGAAACGCCTCCCTATTACCCCGTCCCCCCTCTCTCTCTCTTCCCTTTTCCCCCTTTTACCCCCTCCCCACCCCCCTGTTTTCCGAGTGCCATTCAATCAATAAAAAGGGAAATCTCCGCCCGGCGTGGCATAGTTTTCCATGCCAGCTGCGAATGCACGATGAAATCAAAAAGGCTTTAACAATACTTTTCGTCTTATGCGCGTACCATATTATGTAATTGTAGGGCTCACACACAGGCACACACCAACACTAATACACACATACATATTAACACACACAGTGTGGCACAGAGAGTGCTGTGTGTGTGTGAGTTTTATGCTTGTGTGGGGGAGAAACACTTCATTTCTTGGCATTTCCTTTTGGCATTCGCATAAAGAGAGACGCAGAGACGCACACACATGGTCTTCTAGCTTTTTATTATTATTGCTGTCACACACCCACACACACACACACACATGGGTTGGGGCAGAGAGAGTCCTTTACACAGATACATTCACACTTACTAGCAAGATGTCGTCTGCTTGCCATTGTCCTTCCTCATAGTCGGCATCTTTGGCATTTTTCTTCTGCTCTCTCTCGCGTCTCCTTCTCCGCCACGCCTCCCCTTCTCCTTCTACTCCTTCGCCTTCTTTTATTCTTCTACTTATTCTTCTTCTTCTTCTTAAGCATTCTGCAAATGCGATTGTCTGTGTGTTGGTGTTAGTGTGTGTGTCTCTTACTTTTGCCGCTTCTGCTTTGGTGTTTATTTTGTGAACATTTCGAATGTGACTGGCCGAGTGTCATTTTATTCGCTCTTTCTTCCCCCTCTATTTCATCCAGTCTCTCTGTCTCCGGCCTTCTCTCTTTCATATCCTTAATCTGCCAAGATTGTTACTGTGTGTGTGTGTTCGGGTGTGTGGGTGTGTGCGAGCGAGTGCTTGTGTCATTGCCATTAATTAAACACGTTTATGGCCGGGAAAGGCCAAAAAATAAAAGCGGCAAAAAAAAAATATAAATAAAATGGGCTGCAGAGGAAAAACAGAAAAAAAAAAAGAAAAAGGAAACAAGACCTAAAATAAAATAAAAGCCCGGCAGGCGAGTAGCCACTTTGCACATTAAATTATCGATTATGACATTCATTCACAGCTCCGAACGAAAATAGCATCAACAGCAAAATCGGCAGCCAATCTGGCTAAAAAGCTCCAAGACCCCCCCTCTTCATCTCCTTTCTTCCACCCCCCAATCCAACCCCCCACCAACATTGAGTTCTCGCCCATGAAAGTCACCAAACGACCAGCGGCGAGCAAACAAACAAGCCAACATTTCCAGGCGGGCATACACGGCGTATGGGCAACGTCAGTGGGACACAGCCGTCAATGGGGATTCCCCACGTCCGCCGAGTGTGTGTAAAAGTATTGGACAAGTTAATAGCATCGACAGATAGCCCCTCTAAATAACAAATATTGTTCCGTACTTTAAAGTACAAACATTCTATTTAATTTCTATAAATATTGCCCATACGCCATATAAAAAGTTACTTAGTAAAACCAATTTATTTTTATTAGAAGGAGAATAATTTATAATTTAATTAAAATTTAAAGAAATCAACCATCTGTAAAATGTATATTTTTACTTTCAAAATGGTATACATCTATTTTCAAAAGGCCACCACCAAATTAAAAGTGTTTATTTCACTACCGTGTATAATTGAAGTTAATTTCTACAAATAAATTAATTTGAAATACTCAATGTGATTAAAGAGATGTGAAAACTTGAATGACTTAAATCAATCAATTAAATTAAGTGGTATATCTTATTGTTTTGACCAGCACTGTGTTTTTGCCATGCACACGTAGAAATGTGTGTCCTGTTGGGACAGGCAAATTTATATTCGACAAGCGACAAATGGCAGAATGTTGTGAGCAGCAAAGCGAAAGTTGCATTCCGGCCATTTTGCAACGCCGAAATTTACAGCGATGTGGCAATTAAATTAAACTGGCTCTCGTATTTCCATTAATTAAAATGCAACCATCGGTCAGCAGCCAAATGCGATTTAATTAGTAACTTTAACTATGCACCGAACAGTGTATTTCCTTTTGCTCCCAATCGAAAATAACAAGTGCAATCAGCCAAAATATTGATCAAAGTGTAATGTATCGGTTAACCGCTTCGTTAGTCCATTAATTAACCATTCGTGAAATATTTTTAATTGGCAACAGGAGAACATCTTTGCAAATAGTTGACCATGATGGAATCTTCGAATTGCATTTCCAATTACGCTCAGTTCTAACCCAAATTGAGGTTGATTCTAGCTTCATTATTAAATTACTTAATTAAGCGCAATTATAGCTGTTATCCTTGAAATAACTTGAAATAGTTACGGGTAATGGAAGAGATTTTACTAGTGAAATGTTTTGTCAGTTCAATTAACCATGATACTCTTTAGACATTTTAATTGTCCAATATAAGATTTAATTGAGTTTTTGCTGATTTCTAAATAATATTTTTGATTTGTTTAATAAAGCTAATAATCAAAATGTATGTTGTGTTCTAGTTTTGTATTGCTTATAAATAAAACAATTCGAGACTTGTGTTCTATAGAAAGTATACACATCTTTCAAGCGTAAATCCCACATAAAAAGGAAAAGTTGTGCGACTAAAATTTATGGTTTTCCGAAATACAAATACAAATACAACAAAGGCACACATGAGGACCCAAAAATACGCAAAATTATTGCCCGCATTCCGACACAACACCCATAATCACTCAATTTTCAAGCCAACCCCTCATCAAATTCCCGACCCTACGGCAGCAAAAATTCTCGACTTTGAAAATTCCCATACAAGAAAATATCATTAGGGCGGAGCAGCAAAAAAAAAAGGGAAAACTTTATTAATAATGAAGCTAATAGAGTTTTGAGGACCGCCTCCGCCCCCAAATTGCAACCCCTCCCCCCTAAAAAAAAAAAGAAAATAAGCAAAGAAATTACAGCCAACGCAAAAAAAAAAAAAAAAAGGAGAAAGAAGGGAAAATTTGGTCAGTGGCTCAAGGAGCTGTAAAAATAACAAGGCGCAGACAAGAGGCGGCAGTGGCAAAAGGCCTAAATCGAGGGTGGCACAAGGACTGTCACACAGACAGGCACACTAGCACACACACACACACGTCCATACACCCATACTGGGACACCGACTGGCACACACACCAAAAACGATTGAGTAATTTTTTTCTTTTTTTTTTTTTTTTGTCCCCCTCAGTCACACAACTTCATTAGGGTCGAATCGAGATGAATATGAAGAAGGTTCCTGGGGATTCTGGCGGAGATTGGCTCTGGATGTCGTGTTATATAAATAAAAATACTGAATTGCGGCTATGGAACAACTGGCAATTAAATGTTGGCATTAGTTTTGCGTAATCTGTCAACTAATTGGAACAGAAACACCCACACACACGCACACACACGCACACTCACTGAGTTCAGTCGCCTTGACTTTGGGGCCACAAATTGGATTAGAAGAAGACTGCATAATTCCCACTTAACAAATGCTACAAAAAATCAAAAAAAAAAAACATTGGACAGGGAAAGCAGCCAAATATATGCAGAGCAAAAATATACTTTAAGCATCTATATATATTATAATTTACATGTACGATTTTGGTTAGTTACATCTGCTTTTTGGTTACATTTCACGCACATTTGCAGCATTTCTTCATCCTTGTTGTCGGTTTTTATAGTTGTTGTTGTTGTTGTTATAGTTGTTGTTGTTGTTGTTGCTGTTGAAGTTGTTTTCGATGCTGTTGTTGTTGTTGTTGTTATTGTTGTTGGCTTTGTAATTTCTTGTTGTTCTGTTCGCACTCGTGTTCAAACCGCACAGGAACAAAAAATCTCAAAAAAAACGTTAACAATTGCACATAAAATATTTATTCCTCTTCTTTGACGGAGGCACATCTATTGAATATATATTTTCTTCAGCTTGGCTGCTTGGGTTCCGGTTTTTTTCTTTATCTTTAATTCTTTTTTTTATGTTGGCACTTGAGCACTTTGCTTATAATTTTCTTTTTTTATTTTTGTGTTGGCTAAATGTTGCAAGGGACTTGAGGAACAAGAACAAAAAATTTTTGGGGGTCTCCTGGCGTTTTTTGAATCCTTCAGTTCGTTTCGGATTCGGATACGGATTCGGAACTTGAATTCGTCGGGGAACTCGACTTGGTTTCGGTTTGGTTTGGTTTGGTTTTTGGGCTTCTGGCTGTGACTGTGACTGTGGCTGTGGCTGTGGCTCGAGAGGACTGAAGAAGACCACTCAGAGGGCGATGATGATGGGAGGCGAGCGCACGCTGGCTCCGCACCACATGACCGCACAACACGATTGACAGTTTGGCACTGAGCGCCGACGAGCTGGAGCAGGACCACCAGGCCAGGCCATGCCAGGAGCTGCCAGGACGGCCAGAGCTTATCACACGGCCGAGAAGCGATAAAAACCGAGAACGGAGAACCGAGGACCGAGAGCCGAGAGTCAAGCCCGAAGGCGGCAGCAAACCCAACAAAAACAAACCGAATGGCCCGAAGACCCGAGAGTTCTTTATTGGGTGGCCAAAGGGGGGTAGAACCCAGGGGGGTGGAACCAAAGGGGGATGGAACCAAGGGGCGGTGAAACCAAGGGGGAAATATGCGCGACTGTTACAAAAAAAATTTGTAGCCAAGCCCAAAGCCAAAAGCCCTGTCGCCTCCGCATCGCCACCCGCCGGCCACCCACTTTCCCACCCACTTTGCCACCCACCTCGCCGCACATTCACGTTCCCCGCTCACTCACACATTCATTGAGGAAAGCCCAGCATCAGCGACAGGACTCCAGGCGAGGCGCGGCCCAACGAAGCGCAGCCAACCGAGCCAGGAGCCACCAGCTAGCAGCCATCAGCCAGCAGGCAGCAGGCAGCAGCTAGAAGCCAGCAGCCAGGAGCAAACCGAACCGAACCAAACGAACCAAAAGCGAACCCATAGCGAACCGAACTGAAGCGAATGGAATCCAACCCAAACGAACCGAACTGAACTAAACCGAGTGCCCATTCCGCCGGCAAACAGGAACAGCCCGTTGGGAAATGGAGCAATAACATCCGGGGGATTTCGGGAAGCAGAGATTAGTAGTATTATGCTCGCAAATTATTCAATCGGAACTCAACATTTTTCAATCGAATAGGAAACAAAGTGAAACTATTATTTGATGGCTTCTTTCTTGGACTAGCATCCATCTTTTGTTGGTATTTTTTTTAATTTTAAAATGAATTTAAATAAAAATTTTAATTTTATGTTTTAGAAATAATAAAACATAAAGCAAAAGGTATTCAAACATATTAAACACTTAAAAATAAGTGTTATTTTACACGAATAGAACAAATTGCATTTGAATAAAAAATAAATAAAAAGTAGTTATATATTTTCTCACTTACCATTAAACATGTGATTCTATATTTTTTTCCTTTGGCAAATACAACAATAATCGACGGGGAAAATAAACATGTAGCAGGAGTGTAGTATGCATGTCGGATTTTCAAAGTCTAATAATGCATAAATATAACTTTCGATTAAATAAACATGCAAAGTTAATAACCGAAATGCCATATTTACATTAACAAATGTTAAATTACAATTAATTACAAATAAAGCACTAAGAATTTTAAAGTACCTTGCCAGCACTTTTGCACTTGTATGTATAATGTATATTGAATATTTGTTTAAACTGTTGTTCAAACTACCAACTGTGTACTCTCTTAAAATAGTCGCGGAAAAGCTTAGGAAAATGTCAGGTCTACTGGGAGCCAGGAACTTTTCCAACCGCCCACCTGCATACATTAAAGTTGCACGCAGCTCCCAGCTCCATTTGGCAGATGAAACTTGTCCGGATTTCCAATTAAGACAATAAGAGAATCATATCCGAGGACAGCAAAGAAAAACTCAAGTGGCCGCTGGTGGAATTGAATTGAATAAAGATAAAAAATATTTGTCTGCCGCGGGCGATGCGCATTTCCCAGCGGGGACAAAGCCAACAGAAGACCCCACAGCTTCAGCAAAAACAACAGCGCCAGGCACCACAGAAAGAAACAGAAAGGAGTGCACTGGGAAAAATAACTGTATACATTTCAATAAATTCAATTTCATTTAAATAAGTTATTAGACTTCATTACCATTTAACTCAGTTTAACGACAATCTTTTAAAATAACATCAACCGGAATGTTTAAACTTAAGTCCTTTGATTAATGAAGTTTTTCTTTTTTAATATAATTTTCTAAAATGATTCAGGTAACTGCTAAGTTTAAATTAGTTATATTTTTGTAGGTAATATAGTAATATGCATTTACTGTATAAAAACCGGTAAAGTTTAAAGTTTGAAAACTTTTATTTTTAATTAGATAGATTTTCAACTGTTGCTTCTTAGTTTCTTTTAATACAATTTTCAAAAGAGTAAAGATAATTTCTTGTTGAAAAGTCCGTACATTTTTAAAAATATTTTTAAGAAAAGTCAAACTTTTCTCACAGTGTTGGGACGAAGGAAGCGCCAAGTGCCATGTGCGGCGCTTTGTGTCGGCGTCTGTGTGAGTGCGGCCTTGCGGTGTCACCGAGTGTGCGTGTGTGTGTGTGGTTGAGGGCAAGGGGAAGGACGAAGGGGGAAGGGAGAGGGGGGGGCTAAGGACGAGAGGCAGCAGAACAGCAGAAGCAGCAGCCACGAGGAGAGCACAAACAGAAACGGCACAAACAGCAAACGTGATGAGCGCATGTGTTTTATCTTCAATCTCAGCTGAAATCATCTGGCCGCCAAAAGGGGGAGGCGGCGGGTGGGCCAAGTTGGAAAGTGAAACAGAAAAAAGATAGAAGAAGCCCCCGTCCAGAGAGCCCCCCACGACAAAGGGATTGGCCCACGCCCCTGTCGCATTATGAAGGGCAATAGGTTGTGTGCGATTTTGTGGACTCGGGTCGCCATCGGTGTTTGGGATAAAGTTCGGGCTCTCGGGTCGACAAACGCCTTCGGCTGTGACTTAGCTCTGACCAAGTCACTAAGCCAGTCAACCCCACTATCTAACTGAGAGGGGGCCCCCTCTGGGCCCCCTTTTGACCCCCTCCAACTCAACGCCCATGGAGCGGCCATTTCAGCGCTTTGTAACATCAAGAAATTTGTACTTCCGCCAGTGGAAGATTTTAATTAAAAGCAGCAGGAAATGTGACCCAAATAATACTTCCGTGTAGTGTGAAAAATTGGCCCAACTTGGCAAATGCTATTGCCATTTGCTCCTGCGGGCCAGGATCTCCTCCTCTTGTCATGACCCCCCCGTCAGAGAGGCTGCCTAATTTGTCGCAGGACCGCCTGCGGAGAAGCGTTTAGCTGCCGGCGGGCGAGGAGAATATAATTTAAGTGATTTCTAAGCCGGCGACTGACAAGCGAGCGGAAAGCGTTTATCAGTCGAGCGGAAAATGACACGGCAAAAATGTGTGTTTGTTTCAAAAGTAAAGTGTGGGGATGGTCTGCTAAAAATGTATAATTAACCCAAGTTTAGATACTTAAAAACCTATTAGGAAAGTTGGGATAATACATTAAGCATTTCAAACAAACATAACAAATTTGGGAGGATTTTTACGGCTGAGTTAGAAATATTCTTTGCCACTATATAGCTTTGAAAACTATATTTTTATTTAATTGATAGTTGTGAATTAAAAATTAATTTCGATTTAAAATGACTTCTAAAATTCCCTTGGAATCAGGATGCTCGATTCAAAATTTATAATCTTATGATTTTCATAAAAGAGAATAAATTAAATTCAATTTGCAACATCCCAACAATATCCTTGAGGATCAGAAACAACTTTGATTTGGATTTGCCAACAAATCAAGGCCAAAGCAGCGCTATTTCTGAGCGAGATGAAGTTTTGACTTTCGGCTAGAAAGCCAGCTGCATTACGTGGCACTACTTGGTTATTCTTGGCGCGACATAAAATCAATATGGTTACCTTGTCACAGCGTGTCCTTTGACTTCGCTCCGTGAGCTCTTGGCACGCAAGCAGCGTGAAAATGCAATCAATAGCAAATCGTTGTCAGCAATTAGCGTCCGGCCCAAGCCCTGAAACCCGATCCCACCGAGGAGACCCACCTGCCGCCTACCACCTACCACCTGCCATCTTCCACCTTTCACCTTCCACTTCCACTTTCTAATTCCAATTCCATGTCGACGCCGAGCCACCAGGTGGATATCCAGCTGCAACACGTGAGTGATGCAGGCTTTCGACTGAAGTGTGCCAAAAAGGATTTGCCACTAACGATGGCAGCAGTGCATCTGCCGCATCTGCCACTGCCACTGCCACTGCCTCTGCATCTGCAGCACTCTCGAGCATATTTGCTCATCATTCTCGCTTTTTACTGGTCCGCCCCAAGAGCCCCACTATCCTCACCCCCCCTCCCACTCCCTTCCCCTCCCACCAATTCTTCGTTTCTATTCATAGACTCTGCTCTGCGGCTCTCTCGATTGCCAGCAAAATGGCAAACAAATCGTTGCAAATATTCCCCCAACGTGGCGTATGCGCAATTTTTAACCAAAGTATGAGGGCCACACACACACACACACTTACACATAGATATACTCGCATGTATGTATGTATTTTTCGAAAATACATCTGTATCCAGTCTAGCACAAATATTTGATGGCATTACGCGAGTGAGTGTGTGGAAAGGACCATTTGCTGTTGTTGATTTAATTCAACATTTGCCGAATGAAAATTTCATCCTGCGCTGACAAACGTCTCGGAGACATCCCATCACACTTATGGGAATACCCAATCCATATACGAGTTTTTATAAATCAATCCGAGATGGGATTACAAATTGATTTTGCGATTATACTTATCTGGTTTTGTCCTCTTCTTTGCAAACCATCTGAAATATTTGACATGTTAAAGGGTCAGAATATTCACCCGTAATGAGATCATACAAACGCAGTCAATGCAGTATTTATCAAATCGATCGTTTAGAGGTTTATAATACTTTTAAATCGGGCTCAAATTATGACTTAAAATTAACCATTATTTTTTGTCTGAAAAAAGGCCCCAAATAGCCGCCATTAAATAACAAAGCAGAAATCATTTTACATCTATAAGTATTTTATTATTATTTTGGAATTTATCATAAATTTTGCTTGAATTTCAAATACACATTGATAGATCATCGTTCTTCAATTTTAATAGGTCGTAACATAACTTTGATTTGCAAGCAAACAGAATCGAACAAAACGTATCTAAAATGTGAATACTTATGTGAATCAATATTTTATATGCTGTCTTCATGTACATAGATAATATATAACAATTACGATTACAAAAAAACACGACATTTCATGTGAGTGCGGAACAGAGACGGGGTCAAGGGGGGTCAGGAAAAGGGGGCGTGTTTTTATGTGCGGGGGGGAAGGGAAAGGGAAATGGGAAAGGGGGTATGACCACAGCTTGGATGAAAAATGATTTTCGCTTTCTTGTTTTCTCGGACGAAGGCGACAAGAGATAAAGTTCTATAATTTAAGCGTTAAATATATTATTTATATTATGTTTGTATACATATATATATGTATATATATATATAAGATCGTATATATGTATGTGTGTGTTGCGTGTGTTGGGGGGAGTTGGGAATATTCCTATATCGTTTTAATGACTTAAAGAACTAGAAAACATCATCATCAGCAGCAGCATTATCAGAGCTTACCCTTGTGTCTGGTTCCTCTGGGGTTATTTCAGATTCCTATTATTTGACAGGGCACACACATAATAATTTACCCTAGATATTGTATTTGAAGGCATGTATATCATACGATTAAGATGTCTTGTCTTCCCAATACGCTGCAGCTGTGTGTCAAAGGCATCGGGCGCCGTTAAAGTTTTCATTTTTCACTTTTCCTTTCTTCTTCGTTTGTTTTTTTTTTAGTTTTAGTTTCCGTTTAAGTTCTAAGTTCAGTTTCGCTCTGTTTATAAATATTGTTAATGCATTGTGTGTTTTTGTGTGTTATCATTACAGTAATTATTTGTAATAAAGACGACGGCATTCTAGGAATTGTTTATGCACAAAAGCAATTAGTTATTAGTTCCATGCTCCAATGCTTGCTTTAGTTTCTTGTTTAACTTTGCCATTACTTTCAAGCTATTTCAATGTTTATTAAATGTTCCATTTCCATCTCCATCTCCATTTCCATCTCCATCTCCCTCTCGTTGGCGCGGTCACCATCTCTTTCTGTCCCAATTTAGCAGGATGAGTGCTTGAGTTCGTGGTTGATTGATTGATTATCCTTTTGATTTGATCAGATCCCCGGTAATGCAGAGTGTCCTTAGTACCTGCTGTTGTTGAACTGCGAATTGATGGCCGTGTTGACGGCCGAGGAAGCCGCCTCCTGGACATGCTGGTTGCGCAGAAACTCGGTGGTGAACTCCGCCTGGGCCTTGGCCATGCTGGCCCCTGTGCTGCGGTAGATGGAGTGAATCTTGGTGATCATCAGCACATTGGCCACGGCCACCGCTGCGAAGCAGAAGGACACGCCCAGCAGCAGGATGCCAACGATTATGCCCGCCGCCTGACCATCGAACTGCCCGATGGCCGTAATGAAGCCACAGTAGCCCATCTTATTGAAACCAACAGTCTGCGCGATCGAGTACAATGTTTGAAAGAAGTAGATGAAAAAGAAGACCATGAAATTGAAGCTCGAGTCGTTGCGGAATGCCTTGTACGCCGGTCGGAACCTGAGGATAAATCAGGAATTGTTTTAATACGCGTGAATACCAATTAATACGAATGAATGAACCCATTCGGATGCAAAGGCAAACTCACCAGCAGACATACGAGGCGGGCGAGAAGAGCATCGTGTAGAAGATGGCCAGGAAGAAGGTCTCAAACTCGCCAGCATGAAACAATAGAATTAGCCCTCCAACTACATTGGCCAACAACGTCATGGTGTAAACTGTCAGGAATATAATGCATTGTTTATTTCCATTGCTAGGAATTTTTGCGGGCATTGGGAAAATAAAACTACATATTTATAAATAACAAATATATAAGGAATGATAAAAATAATGGCGTGAATGTTATACATTCGTAAACATTTCTGGATGTCAAAATTAGTTTACTTCGTCTCTTTAGCTGCAATTTTTGCACAAAGCCACACACATTTTTAATACGATTAGCCATGGCTACATACATCTGATTAATCATTTTACAACAGTTTGCGAACCTCACGCGATGACACATCCCAACCTACGGCCCCTTATCAGCGAAACAATATAAAAATATAGCCATAAAAAACGAATACTCACAGATCCATATGTAGTACAATCGCTTAACCAGTTTCTGGAACTCGGGCGGTATCTCCACCTCGATGTCCTGGTAGAAGCACGGCTTCACACAGAAGTTGTCCGGCAGCGGAGGCCAGTTGTTTAACTGCGGCACATTGCCCTGCAGCTGCTGTTCGCGGCGGTCCAACTCGGCGGCCTTGCGGTCCAGTTCCTCCTGCCGGCGCTAAATGTGATAAAAAAAAGTCAGATTATAAGCATAATTATATTATTTTCAAATTTAAAAACTATGAATAGATATGCGGCTTTAATAAGAGTTTACCATAAATGAGGGTCACACACATTAGTTTTTCTTGTACTTATAAGTAGGGCTTGTGAAGCCAAGTAAATCAAGGGAAACCGCAGTTTACACAGTGAATATTCATCGCGGCAACCTCTAGTCTTTGCTAGATAAACACTGGAAAGCGGATTTATCATATAGAGCGTGAGATAAGTATGGTTATCTGCGCATTCATTTTGTGGGCCGTGAGATGTGTGTTATGCACGTCATAATTCTGTTCTACCACTAGTGTTTAATGCAAAGATTTAAGGGGCAGCCAACTGTCGTGGCAACTAATGATGTGTATGTGTCGACTGTGCAGACTTACTGGATGAACTGATATTCTTTTATCAGTGTTTACTGTACTGACATTAGAAATTGAACTTCTGTGATTGGAAGTATAGATCTTGGGCACCCTATCATTGTTTGCTCTACAGATTTGATATGCGATGATGTATGTAATAGTATTTGTGCACCACAACGAGTGTTTACTGTGCTGCGGGGCGGTAATGCGAGCTGGCCGGCCAAGTGGGTTACCTGCAACTCCTCCGAAGTGATCTGTATGCTGGTGCTCGGCGCCGAGGCGCCCAGCGAACTGGTTTGCGGGGGCGGAATGTTCTGCGACAGCGGCTGCACCACCGCCGCCGTGTTCGTCGAGTTGATCTGCAGCTGCGGCTTGGCCTGCTCCTCGAACGGGTTGTAGTCCTCCAGCGAGACGAGCGCGGCGCCGCTCTGAAGGCGTCGTGCCTGTTGGATGGCGGGATCCTGCCGGTTGTGAGAGTCCCAATCAGAAATCAATTCGCGCAACATATGTGACGAATGCACCCAACACACACACACATGCGCATACCCCCAAACCCCTGCATACGTGTATGTGTGCGATGGGTTTTTTCTTCGGCTTCTGCTCTTTAATCGCCTTACCGCAAACGGATTATCCAGATTGGGCTCCCCGAAGGGATTCTCGTCGAGACCGGAACCGGACATGGGTGCTGCTTTGGGTTTCGGCTGTTCGCTGACCAAGAAAACGCACTAGTTCGCACTTTACTTTCTTGCTGTGTATATTTTCCCTATGACTCTTCTTTTAGCCGCCAGTGTGGCCGTACGACACGAATGCAGTGTGACCGAGCGAGTATAATGTAAAGATCTTGTCAGTTATTACTTTATTAATTGTGTTTCGCGTAGCCAACTATCGACAAGATTAATAAAATTAATATTTAAATAACCTTTTCATTAATACACAACAACTTTATTTAATATTTCACATAAATACTTTTTAAAAGTATCAACATCATAATATTGAGAAGCAAACCTTAACTATCATGATTGAACATACACATGTATACCATAGTTTAATAGGAACAGAAATACGCATATGCAATTTGTTTGTGATTCAACCACTATGAAAAAAAATAACAATACCTGAAGTTAAAAAATGTTGAATTATACAAGAAAAAAATTGTAATTGCTTATTAACCAGTTAATTTAAATTAATAAATTAAGTTGAAAGTACAATCGATAACAGACTCCGCTGAACCGGTTCCTTAAGAACTAGTTGCCAGCCCTGGTGCCGCCAATCCACTCCAGTTGGAATCTTGTGTTTTGGATCGAGATTCATTAACCGCTGCCCGCGTCTCCAATTCGGTTGTTTGCGATTCCATCTGCTCCAAGTCCAGACTACCAATCCTTGCAAGAATGTCGAAGCCCAGCTACAAAGTCGGTGAGTTATAAATATAAACCCCAGGGGGGTTAAGGAGCTCCGAATCACCGGCCGGCAAACATGTGCAATCCACACGAGCACATGTTTCTGAGGTTAAAATAGAGACACAAAATCGGGAACACGTTGTTGCTGGGCGCAAAAAGCCACCATAAGGTGTATAAATCAACAGCGCTTGCTTATCTGACCCTATCTCCCATATTTCCACCGATTATTACAGCCGATATCAGTCTGGCGGAATGGGGACGCAAGGCGATCATCATTGCGGAGAACGAGATGCCCGGCTTGATGGCCTGCCGCAAGAAGTACGGTCCCTCGAAGATCCTCAAGGGCGCCCGCATCACTGGCTGCCTGCACATGACCGTCCAGACGGCCGTCCTCATCGAGACCCTCGTCGAACTTGGCGCTCAGGTGCGTTGTATTCCTTGGCATCTCTGCATGCCACAACATATCATACCACTTAGTTAAGAGTTGAAAATGTACCAAAAAGTAGAAAGATTGGAGTTTCATTCATTTTTCCAATAGCAGGCTTTTACGTATTTTATATTATCACTTTTAAAAAGTAAATAGAATTTTAATTTATACAATTGAGCTTCTATTTAGTTTTGTAAGTTGAAATTGTAAATTCATTTTTATGCGAGATAGTTGGACAGATAAATACTTCCTATCAGTGTCCAAGGGCTGGTCTCGTCCCATCTTTTGTTTATGCCTTAATTTGAATAACAAAACTTTCGTTTAACGGGGGGCAAGTTCAAGGCACCCAAGATAACACCTCCAGATTGTTATTTCCTCTGACGCAGCACGTTTTGTTTTTTGATCCTCGCACATGGCAACCATTTTAAAATATTAATGTTAAACTTTAAGAAAAGAGCATTGATTTTTTTTAGTTACTTTATATATCATAAACAAATAATTGATTATTTTAACAACAATAATAATAAATAGTAAGACACGTCTGCTATCAGAAGTACATTTTTAAATTAAAATCCTTATGCCTATGTTAAATTTTCATATGCATTTTTATGTCCAACAGGTTCAATGGTCCAGCTGCAACATCTTCAGTACCCAGGATAATGCTGCGGCGGCGATCGCTGCCACCGGTGTGCCGGTGTACGCCTGGAAGGGCGAGACGGACGAGGAGTACCTGTGGTGCATCGAACAGACCTTGGTCTTCCCCGACGGCCAGCCCCTGAACATGATCCTCGACGATGGCGGCGATCTGACCAATCTGGTGCACGAGAAATTCCCCCAATACCTGAAGGGCATCAAGGGTCTGAGCGAGGAGACGACCACTGGCGTTCACAATCTGTACAAGATGTTCAAGGAGGGTCGCCTGGGCATACCCGCGATCAATGTCAACGATTCGGTGACCAAGAGCAAGTTCGACAACCTCTACGGTTGCCGGGAGTCGCTGATCGATGGCATCAAGCGCGCCACGGACGTGATGATCGCCGGCAAGGTTTGCTGCGTGGCCGGATACGGCGATGTGGGCAAGGGCTGTGCCCAGGCGTTGAAGGGATTCGGCGGCCGTGTTATCGTCACCGAGATCGATCCGATCAACGCTCTGCAGGCGGCAATGGAGGGCTACGAGGTGACCACCATGGAGGAGGCCAGCAAGGAGGCCTCCATCTTTGTGACTACCACCGGCTGCCGGGACATCATTACCGGCGAGCACATTCTCCAGATGCCCGACGACGCGATCGTCTGCAACATCGGTCACTTCGACATCGAAATCGATGTCGACTGGCTAAACGCGAATGCCAAGGAGAAGGTGAACGTGAAGCCACAGGTGGATCGCTACACGATGCCAAATGGCAAGCACATCATCCTGTTGGCCGAGGGTCGTCTGGTGAATCTGGGCTGTGCCCACGGCCATCCCAGCTTCGTGATGTCCAACTCCTTCACCAACCAGGTGCTCGCCCAGATCGAGCTGTGGACCAAGTCCGATAAGTACGCCGTTGGCGTTCACGTCCTGCCCAAGATCCTCGACGAGGAGGTGGCCGGTCTGCATCTGGAGAAGCTCGGCGTGAAGCTCACCAAGCTGACGGACAAGCAGGCCAGCTACTTGGGCGTCGCGCAGACTGGTCCCTTCAAGCCCGATCACTACCGGTACTGAGCACTTGATCCCGAACCAACCGCCAACCGGTTCCGAACCCGTAACCAAATCCGAGTCCGAATCCGAATCGGACCCACTAGTTATCTATTGCTTGCGCATTTCACTGTTCACCTAGGCTCCAATAAAAACTCATCTCACGTACTCTCAGCGAGAGAAAAACCCACAACATGCTACAATGTTTTTCCTCTACACAAAAATGAAAGGGTATATATGTTTGGGTAAAAAATTTGACATAGAGCTTAACTTACGCGTAGAGGTTTACATTTTCTCTTAAGCTTCTAGTAGAGACCTTTCAAATGTTTAGTATTTACCTAAAATACAAATTAAAAAGGATTTTAATGGGCTGTAATTTTAATAATTCTTCGTATTTTAATTTGGTTGAGGTGATTCCGAATAACTTAAAACAAATAAATACAACTTTATAAAACAAATAGCATTGTCAAAATAATTCCACTATCAACTTTGTCACACAAAAACATTAGCGTGAACATGCAGAATCTCCCAAACTTGTTTTTTAATTCAAAACACATGTTATTGAAATCATGCTATTTTCTAAAACTTATCAGTTGTGGTTATTACAACGTGAAAATAACAGTGACTCAACAAGTTGGGATTTCTTTAAATAGTTAAGGTCAAGGGCGAAAATAAATCTCTTAAATCAAATCCAAACGAAATCTAAAATGTAGTAGCATATTTGCGTAAGCAAATTTAGTCTTGGTAATAACTACACTATTTATTTGTTTTATGTAGGGGTCAGCGCCTAGAACCTTATCTCCAACTATTAACATACTAATTGGCCGTATATTTAGAGGACCCGGAGCGTTGACAGAAATCCTTAGAGATGGAAAACCTTAGTTGACAGAAATCACTAAGCAAAAAAATGTATGACAGTAAAAATTGTATTTTCTTAAAAGATTTTGGAACCCTGTTAGAAATCTTGCTTACGCCTCTGGAGTGACTCAGCGGTTTTGTGATCCATCTCGCACATCTGCGTGAAGTGCTTATCGTTATCTCGCTCACCACAATCGTAGGGTATTCGAGATTAGCAACGGCCCAACCTTCACACAGATAGCGTTGATTGCGGCCGGTTACCAGATGGTCGCCCCATCTCGCTCTCTCTAATACTCTCTTGCCGTGGCAAGTACATAAAGCCATCTCGCTTCCACCTGCAATTGCAGTTGTAAACTCATTGTTATTGTGTGATTTCACGTTTTCTTGTACATTTCACTTGGAACACTTGTTGCGTGCGAAAGGGGTTTTAGATTCAAAACATTCCTGCCTTCTGCTGGCAAATTACATCATCCTCAGGCGGCGAAAATGTCTCAGCATCGAAGATGTCTTGGTTCCGGATGGATGATCATGTTGGTCACCCTGGGACTGGCATTTTCACCCACTCACGGATGGATGGCCCACTTTCGTCCGGCTTCCTTGAAACTGCATATGGAAAGCGGTGATCGGGTGCAGCTTACCTTAGAGAACCTGGCTCTATCCACGCTGCAGCAACCGGAACGATACCACTTCCGCTTGGAGAGTGTGGACACGAATTTGGCCAGCGTTCCCGAGGAGAACGGCACCATTCCGCTGAACGATTTCAACACGGAGACACGCGACTGGACGGGCCACATTCAGGTTGATGCCCACTTCCTAGGCCAAACGAAGATCGAAGTGAGGTTGTACGACACCCAGTTGAACTCCAGTGAGTTGCCCACCAATTGGAGCAACGATAGCTCGTTGGATGTAAAGATCTTGCGCCCAAATCGCGTCCTGGATCATGTCTTTCTGGGCTCCATTATACTGCTGATGTCGCTCCTGTACATCAACTTTGGAGCTGCATTGAATCTGGATGTGCTGAGGGGTCTGATTACCAGGCCCATTGGTCCCTGCATCGGATTCGTGATGCAGGTGGTGGGTATGCCCCTGCTGAGCTACGCCCTCGGTGTCTTCATATTTCCCCAGGCACCGGCCATGCAGCTGGGTCTCTTCTTCACCGGCATTTCGCCCAGCGGAGGAGCATCGAACACGTGGACCGCCGTGCTGGGCGGGAATATCCATCTCTCCGTGCTGATGACCACTGTTTGTAATGTTGCCGCCTTCGCGACGATGCCTCTGTGGGTTTTTACACTCGGGCAGCTGATCTTCGAGCGAGCGGGCATCCAGGTGCCCTACGAAAAGATAGCCACCTACTGCGGCTGCCTGATTGTTCCGCTGCTGGTGGGGCTGCTCATCCAGAAGCGACTGCCGCGACTAACTAGGATCCTGGTCCGCCTGCTAAAGCCCATCTCTGGCTGCCTTATCCTGTTTATCGTCGTCTTCGCCATCATCACCAACTACTATCTGTTCTACTTGTTCTCCTGGCAGGTGAGATGCAAATCTGCTCCTGCAGAGTTTAGGAGTTATCTAAGATTAGGAGCATTAGCGGATAGTACCTTTTGCTTAATTAAATCTTAGTAAGAGTTAGAGTTTACTTTACAGCTGGGCTAAATAAATGAGTAAAGGGCGAAACAATTTTTTTATCAATTATATTTTATTATTCTAATTTTTATAACATGAATACAAAGAATTGATGCTCTTAAATACAGCAAACTAGTCACATTTAAATATAAAAAACCAGATTAACCTGCTTTGCAGAACTATGCTTTTAAGATCAAACCCAAGATAACACAAATCAAATAGATGTTAATAAACCAAACCTTGGGTAATTACATTTATTCTTAAGCTTTTAAAAGTGCAACAAATGAATTATTATGATTATTACTCTCCGCAGATCGCTGTGGCTGGAATGGCTTTGCCAGGTCTGGGCTACACATTCGCCTGGCTGGCGGCCAAGTTGCTCCATCAAAATGCCGCCGACGCTCTGACCATCGCCATTGAGACAGGCATCCAGAACACGGGCATCGCGATCTTCCTGCTCACAACCACGCTGGAATCGCCGGAGGCGGACCTCACCACGGTGGTGCCAGTGTCGGTGGCCGTGATGACACCGTTCCCCCTGCTGGGGATCTATCTCTACAAACGATGCTGTGCACCAAAAACGACCGAAGCCACCGCTTCCGAGGCAGAGCGGATTTTTTGAGCCTTCAGATGCTAATCTTTATAGCTGTTGCGTTAGCTTCACTGTTAAAGTATTTGTACATATTGGTTTTTGATAACTTATACATCGTGTAGCATATAGACAAGGCTGAGATGCAGTCAAGCTGTGTTTGGGGACCAACGAATGCAATAAATCTCAAGTGTCTTACGTTCCAGAATTTCCTACACCTAAGTCGCTCCCACATATTTTGTATTGATTATTTTACAATAAAGTGATATTTATAACTTTATCCAAATGAACAAATGGTTTCCTCTTTCAAACTGATTTAATTGATAGAACTTTGTTACTGTAAGGTAAAGGTAAAGGTAGCAATAGGGTTTAAAAAAAATCCTACTATTTAACAACTTTTTAAGCCAATTTATTTCAGTTATTCATCTTAAGTTCTTTCTTTAGCGTTCGAGATAACTTTTAGTAAAAGTTACAATTGTTAATGGTGAGGCAGAAAACTTCAGCGTGAGGCTTTCACTAATAAATGTACAATGTATATGAAGCGCATATCTATCCATCCACATTCCAGGCATATATAACCACATATATTCTAGACTTAGTAGAAGAGTATGTCCATTGAGGATCATTGGGTGGCCATTGTGTAGGCGAGAAGGGCCGCCTCGTCCAGAGTCACCACCTCGGTGGACAGTGCCTGGAGGATCTTCAGCAGGCCAAATATGGTGTGTGCGCCAAGGTTGAGTTGCCGGAATTCGTACAGCAACCGCATATAGTTCACCGTGCCCGTACTCAAGTCCACGCCATTCAGCATGTTCGGCAACAGGTTATAGTAGTTGATCACACAGAAAGCGCGCTGCAGATCCGGACCACTGACGGTGGTCACATAGCTGGGATCCAGTCGCTTTCGGCTGAGAAACTCCCTCAAGGGCAGACACAACTCGCGCGTTGAGTCCTCCATTTCCTGCTTGAAAAGTTCCTGCATCATCTGGATGAGTTCCACGGAGATGAGCGGATGCTCCGTCTCCCGGCCGCGACTCAGGAAGGCATCGATCAGCTTCAGCTGCCACACATCGATGTTATTCAGCATGGACTTGGTCACGTGCTGGGGACAAAAGATATATTAAATGTCAATATATTGAGTAGTATTCCCAAAGAGCTTCCCACTTACATCGTAAAGCGTTAAATAGACGGGCAGTAGGTGCATTCGATCCTTGACGACTGCGTTGTAGAAGAGCAGCATCATCTGGTGGCGCTTCACCAGCTCCGGATAGGACAGGTCCGTGCCCTTGGTCTCCAGGCAGCGACTCAGGAACGGCTTGACCATCCGTTCGCTGGCGAACTGCTGCAGATCGTTCATGTCAATCTGCCAGCAGATGCTCTGCTCCATGGTTAGGGTCTGGGCGAGCATGCTCTTCAGCCGATCGGGATCCTCCAAGTGGGAGAGGCATCCGGTGCGCTTCTTAATATCGATCGGTGCACTCATCTCCAGCGCCTTTTCCAACTGATGCCAGTTGCGGGAGCGCTCGAAGCACACTGGCCAGTAGTTCTCGTCGTCCACAACCACTTGCTGCAGACTGCTCAGCACGGGCAGGATGCAGGGCGCGATGGGCAGGCGGCGCATCTCGTTGGCGCCAATCTCCAGTACGGATATGTTGGCCAGGCACAGCTGGTTGGTGTCAATGTCGCGCGTCAGGAAGAGGCGCGGTTCCACAGCGAGCACATAAAGATGCCTCAGTGCTTGCAGGTGGTAACTAAGAAAAAATTAGTGTTAAGCTTTGCTTCTCTGGAAATCGGAATCCATCCTCACCGATTATCATTACTGTGGATGGGAAACTTGGGAAAGAAGGCGCAGACCAGAGCTGCAATCGATTCCGGCGTCTTGGCAATGGTGAAACGACCCGCTCCGAGAAAGAGCAGACCGAGCGACATGTGAATGGCCATGTGGGAGCCGTAGGTGATGTGCGGATACTGCGGTCCCACACGCGATCTCAAGTACCGGATGATGCGAAGGATCTCGCAGTTGCCGGAACCGGCGAACACCAGCGAAATGGAGATGAGCAGCACCATCAGGCAACTCTCAACGGTGGTGCGGCCGGTACACTCGCCCATTGCCGTACCGGGAAAGCTCAGGAACTCCTTGATCACGGCCCTCAGCGTGGCGAACGCCACCATGTCCTCCGTGCCGGCGTACTTGAGACCAATGCAGAATGCAGCTCCTGCCATAATGTTGCAGTAAGCTTGGCTAAAATAGGAGTATAATTAATTGCCACATCGTAGTTTAATTTACGAATCCCCGCTACTTACGCGATGGCCTCGTAGTCCACATCCTCGCCAGCGGGCTCATCGTCGTGCGAGGGAAGCAGCAGGTGAATCCGCAGAGTTGACGGGAACTGCGCCTGGAACCACTCGTTGTCGGGTCGGATGTCCTGCCACAGGATCAGACCCCGGGCAATGGTGCGCAGCAGCAGGAAATCCGGACGCACCATGTCCAGCAGATACCGCGAATCCGGCGGCTGCATCCACTCGGCGATTGCCGCATTGCCGGAATTGAAGAACATCAATCCCAGGGCGAGAGTGGCGCCGGGAGCGGTGACATCTATATTGACGTTATCGCCTTCTCGAACTTGGAAGGACGCCAGTCGGTACTTCTCCTTTTGGGAGCCACTAATGGGTCTCTTCACTCCGCCGACCATGTAATAGTGCAGCGTGTCCGGCAATTGGAGATCCCTCAATCCCGCCGGCGATTCCCCCTGGCCCAGGGTGACCAACCCAAGGGACAGTCCAGCCGTCATGGCATACGATTCGCGCTCCACGCAGTTCTCCATCTCGGGACCCGGCGGTCGTCCGATCTCCTGCAGCAGCACCTCGGCAATGTGCCGCTTGGCCGAGCCCTGGTAAAGCAGACCGATGCCCATCAAAGCGGCCACCTGTGTGCTCTGCGGTATGTCCAGCTCCATGGCGGTGGCCGGCAGCAGTGCCTCCAGGTGAACACTCAGCAGTTTGGTGGTCTTCGTGTCCATTGAGCCGCGATGGGCAGCCGAAATGCCCAGCAAGAGGCCCACGTTGGTCATCTCGTCGCACTTGACCAAATACTTGTAGACACTCATGAAGGACAGCGTCTTGAGGTGGCCATTCAGGCCCAGGGCCATGAGGAAGCCGGCGTGCTCCAGGGCGTTGTTCGCCTGCGCCTTCGGCTTGTTGTAAACAATCCACGTGGAGTCGATGTCCTGGGCCTGCGGCGAGATCTTCAGTCCCGTCGCCACGCCATTGTGGAACGATGGCCACATCTGCATATTCGCAGGGAACTCTATCTGCTGCATCTCGATGGTGGTTCCCTTCACCGGCTCCCTGCCCACCAGACACAGCTTGGGCATGGACAGGCTGTCGCTGGGTCTGGGCATCATCGTTCGCAGGGTGAACATTCCACGGCCCAGAGGCAAGGTCATCGTTCTCGCACACAGAGCGAACAGTTGCTTCTCCTGCTCCTCGATGAACTCGTGGTCACTGGTGCCCGGCGACTGCTGCACTTCGATGACCACCGGTTCCGAGCTGTTGAGCAGCCGACGCACTTCCTCCACCCGCATGTCGTCGGGAAAGCGCAAGCGCAGCAGCTTCGTGTCCATGTTGTCCATGTCGTCGTGTCGCAATTGCTCCTGCGGCTCCGGCTCGGGTCCTCCGGTGGGAGGACACCTGGCCGACAGGGAGTCCTCCTTGTAGACCCGGCCGCAGTGCGGTTGTCCATTGCTCGCCTCCAGGAAGGGCAGTTGGGCATGGGCCGCCAGTTCGGGCCGCAGGATGAGCTCGTAGGTAGCCATGCTGCAGCCCATGGGAGGCGACAGACGCGCCTGCTCGAGAGCCTCGGCCACGATCAGATGCACTGCCGCCGGAAAGCGCTCGATGTCGCGCCGCGTCAACCGCATGGCCAGGATCAACTCGAGCATCTGGTGACAGCGCGGCGCATCCGCCGTAATGCTCCGCTTGACCCGCCGCGGATAGTTCGATTGCACGGCCTCGGGAATCTCGAGCAGCTGCCACCAGTGCTTCAGGCGCTCCTGCCCGTGGACCACCAGCGAAACGAGCTGCAGCAAGTTGCGACTTCGCTCGTTCACACACGCCACGAAGCTGTACGGCAGCACCTCCTCCTCGCCGACGATTATGTGCTCCAGCTGGGCGAACACACTGGGCGCCGGAACGCGCAGCAGCTCCTGGTGCAGCATCATGGCCCCGTGCTCTGCTCCCAGCAACGAGAGCTTGCCAGTGCGATTGGAGAGCTCGGGAAAGTCGAGGATGTAGTGCAGCACGTAGCTGTCCAGCTGCATGTCAATAGCCAACTGGTGTAGAAACTATAGAGGGGAGATATAGTCAAGATCCTATTGGTTCATAATTCATTGTTTACCCACCGTTGCCAGGTAGGGAAGCGCTGAATAGAAGACGGCGTCCAGCTTGAGGTCCTCGTACAGTAAATGCAGGCTGAAGAAGATGGCCGGTATCATTTGGAAGAGCGGGGCACTGACATCCACGCTGTAGCTGTGACCATCGGCTCCGCAGGGAGCCAGTGTCGTCTGGAGCAGCAGGAACTCCCAGTCGTCGTCGGTGAAGTCCTCGCAGTCATTGTACTTTCGCCGTTTCTTCGGCTCATCCTGAGCGCCCAGCGTGGAATTGGAGCTGCAATTGGACCCGTCACCCGATCCCGTGGCAGTTGCTCCTCCGAAATGCGTTTGCAGCAGCGGTGTGCCACATCTTCCGTAGCTCTCGGCCGTTTCCACATCGGGAGCAGCGGTCAAGCCCATCAGGGCGAGCAGCGTGCACCGAAAAAGCAACCATTCCTGCTCGATCGAGTAGTCCCGCGATCCCGGCGGATTCCTGGCGCTGTACCAACGGATCACGAAGTGCAGGAACTGCCCGGGACTCAGAACCTGCCGCAGAGTGGCCACACAGCGGGTCAGCAGTCGCGTGTCGTTCAGCAGCGGCAGTGCGATCCTCAGCATTCTGCCGGTGGCATAAACCAAAGTCAGTCTATTGCCCGCCGGATCCCTGAGGGACTTGCACACATTGTGCGCCTGCCTTTGGGTGTACGAAACCGCCAGCGGTTGGATGGGTGACAGCATGTGCAGCTCCTCGTCGAAGGCGGCGAGATCCGCCTGCGCTTTCGTGGGCAGCAGGCTGCTCCGTCGCACCTCCGCAAAGGAACTGCTCTTCGAAGGATTGCCGCCGGTGCTTCTGGCTGCCACCGGTGTCTTCAGTTGCTGCGGAGCCGGCGGAGGTGCCGGAGCGGGTGTGGGTGTGGGTGTGGCTGTGGCCGTGGGAATGGCACTCGGCGCCAGCAAAGGCGTGATGTGCACCTTGGAAATGAGCACAGTGCCCGTGTAGAGGATCAGACTGCCGCTCGGATCGAGGACGGCGATCATGTGCAGTCGGTTGAGACCCACGGCATCCTTGGCGGACAGCGTGGATGCGAGAGTCGACAGCTGTACCTCACTGCCGCCGTAGCCAGTGAGGCGGACCAACTGGAGGCGGCAAGAGCGGGCCAGCAAATAGCAGAGAAACGTCTGGCCCACCAGATCCGTGTGGATGAAGGCTCGGGTGGCCATCTCGCAGAACTCGCGTTGCCTGGGGATCGCAATCACTTTAATTGAGGGACCCCATCATCTCTGTACTACTCACGTTCCGTAAGTGTTCTCTGTCCAGATGTGCTCCAAACACATCTCCGGCTCAATGGGCTTGGCCGGCTTGACGTGCGTCATCTTGCGCATATCCTTGACGGACATGGACTGCTGGCTGATACTGCTCTGCAATTGGCTCAGCGGAGTGCCCAAAGAAGCGCGACTGCAGAGAAGAGTTTATCAATAAGAAAATAGTTTATTCTAGGTTGTGGAAACCTACTTGGATTGGCCGAGGACTCCACTGAAAGACTGCGACTGGCTGAGTCCGAACTTGGAATAGTTAGGCTGGCCCGTGGTTGTGTTGTTCCTGCCCAAAAACGAGGTATTCGTGGCTTTTGGTGTGGCTGGCAATTATATATGTTTTAAATGCAATGTTCTATCCCTTTTTCTCCTTAGAACTCACCGCCCGTTTGCTTCGTGGAACTAAAGCTATTGCCTCCCGCCTGAGATCTCGGTCCCAGCAGCGTCTGGCCCAGCTCCTGCTGCTGGCCAACATAGTTGACCTCGTCCGGCGTCACCTTTCGCAGGCGAGCCACGAAATGCTTGAAGAACTTGGCGTCGTACAGCAGCACCAGATCCGAATCATCGGTGGTGAAGACGACACTGTACTCCGGCTCGGTCATGTAGCCCGTGGAGCCGGTGGAGGTCTTCAGGACGACTGGACAGGCCTCGTGCAGCGGATGCGACATGGAGAAGAGCCGCGGCATCGGAATGGAGAGGTGTGATATCAATGCGGAGCTCGAGTCCTTCTCTAGCAGCAAACCGTGCTTGGTTTGCCAAACCTGCGAGACGGGAAAGTCCAGATTGGCCAGGAAGTCCTCGCCGTCATTGCAGTAGACCCTCAGGGCGTCCTCATCCATCACACAGATGGCGGTGAGCTTGTCATCATCCGACTGAACCGCTGCCTTCAGCTGGGCCAACCGTCCGCGGACGAAGCTGCGATTGAGGAAGCAGGCAAAGCGCACCGGCGAATCACTGGTGAAGCACATGCGCCGGTAAACCCCGTCCCCGTCGTCGTCGTCGTCCTTAAAACCCTGCGTCCAAACGACCGTGTTCCGGTGGACATACAGCTCCTCCTCATTGTTCACCATGTAGTCGCACATCGGCTCCTCGCGCCGCTCGAGCGGCGGGTCCAGCAGGCTCTGGGGCAGCGATGTGAGCTGTGTGGCCGCCGCCGCCTTCGGTCCGCATCGCTTTGTCCGCTCGATCAACTGGCGTCGGCGGGCGGCCCGCTCCTCGGCTGCCTCGTAGTCGTCGTACAGCTCACGGATGGTCCAGGACTCCTGGCCGCCGGCTGGGGACTCCTCCAGTCCGGCCGACGAGATGTTTACGTTCTGCAGCCGCTGCACCAGTGGGTACTCCGAGGTGGGCAGCTGGTGACGCGCCAGCGGCTGGTCGTGCGGACCGGGGTGCTCGGCGGCCGACAGACGCCCGCGCGGCACAAACTCCAGCGGCGGTTCTGCGACGGCGATCATTTCCGCATTGCCGGGTGCATCCAGAGTGTCAAATGAGGAATTAAATTATTACAAATTATACGTCCCGCGCACCGGCTGGTAGAGATGGAACGAAAGTCGATGTTCGATGTGTTCCGACAGTTGGACAACTTTGATGTTTTCTCCATTAGTTATGGCGCGTACCCACTACTGCCAGTTTTCTATCGATAACTTGAGAAGATATTGAACTCCATGCAAGCCACCATAAATCTAAAGCTTGATAAACGCATATGTTTTTTTATAAACGATAATAATAATTCCTGATAACCCAAACAAAATGGGAAATTTCTTATTTTTTGCTTTGGCTGGCCTTTGTTTACTAGCGGTAGTTTTTTGAGTGCCATAGCAAGCAGCCTTAGCGGTTATCCGCAACGTCTGGCAACACTGTCCTGGGTTTTGTTGTGCTTTTTTGTTGTCACCGGATTATCGGAATTTAAGGCTTTGGCCAGGGAAACCGGTAGACGGCGATTCTGGAGAGGATTGGCAATGAGCAGCGGCACCGCCGGCTGCAAGCGCGTGCACAGCATCGAGGTTGAGCAGCCGTTGGAGGCGGAGCGCGTGCAGCACGGCATTTTGTTGGTCAAAGGACGCCTTTCGCCCAAGTGTTCCACGGCGCGTCAACTAAAGGCCACCCTCGATCTCCCCGAGAATTCTTCGCGGGAGCAACTCACCCAACTCTCGGCCGCCGGCGAGTTCAAGCTCCTTTTCGATTTGGAGCAACCCGAGCGGGGGAACACCGACGAGGAGATTGTTTGCCTCCTGGAACTGAGATCTTGCAGCGCCGCCCGCTTGATCAGGTTCAGTTACAAGCCCCGCAGCAGCTCCTACCGGGTGCAGCCATTGTATGTGCTCTGCCGGGACGAGGAGAGACCAGAGGAGCAGCAGCGCCAGTTTCACTCGCTGATCGATTTGAATCTGCGCCTGGTGCAGTGCATCTACGCCCACAAACTGCACGCAGCTGGCTTTCCCAATCGAACGTTCACCTTGAACGGCCCGTGCTGCTCCTTCCGCAGCCAATTGACCCGCGAGGAGGCACTGTCCAAGAGCGAGGACGAGTTGTGGCAGCTCTTGGCCGGCGAGATCATCGCCTGCCCGCAGTGGGGCCACCAGTTGCTCCTCAAGTTCGTGGCCTTTGTGGCCTGCACACGCTACGACGGCGACGCACTGTTGGCCAGCGGAGACACCTCGTACGCGAACATCCGGCGGCATTTAAAGGGGCACGCTGCCTTGGGCGGTGGAGGACTCGCATTATTCGGGAGTGCCCACTTCTACGCCTGGCCTCGGAGCTTCTCGGAGATCGGTGACTGTGTGCGGAGTGCGGAACGCGTGGACATTGCCCGACTGCCGGACGAGAGCAACTACAGAAGGACCTACGGCGGCGTTTATGCCAGCACTTTGGGCGCCGTGTGCCACGAATTGGGGCACTGCTTCGATCTGGGCCACACCAGCGAGGGTGTGATGGGTCAGGGCTTCGACTACTTGAATCGCGTCTTGACCGTGGACCAGCCCACGGAGCATTTACCACAGAGGATCGTGGCGGCACCGGGAGCCAGGAAAGCCGCTAGCTCATCGGAGGCAGCTGCCGGCCATCGGCCGCGATTCACCAAACTAAAACTGCAGCAGTCCAGCAGCCAGCTGTTGGACAACTATCACAACCAAAGACGCCACGACAGCTTCTATTTTGCCCGCAACTGCGCCGTGATTCTGGCCCAACATCGCTGGCTCAATCTCGAACTGGAGCAGACTGCCAGCGGAAGCTGTGGGCCCGCTGAAATCCAGTTGAGTTGGGCCACCAAGGAAATCGTGTCCAGCAGGCCGCTCCGACTGGTCGAGCTGCGCTGCAATCAGAATAGTCTGGTCGCCCACTACGAGGAGTTCGAGACGAGGCGCAGTGGCAGCAGCGAGGTGGAGGCACCTGTGCTCCGCTTCCAGTTGCCCGCTTCTCTGTGGCACCTCCTCGCCGAGCAGCGCACCCACTACGTGTTCGTACTGACTACAAGTGGCGATACCAAGCGGCTTTCCTGTGATTCGTAGGATTAGAAGAGACTGGAGGAGTAGGCGGATTAGTGGGACTAATCCTATAAGGTGAGTCACCGTTTTCGGTAATCAAATCACAAGGATTGCTACGAGTTTGTTGAGTTTGTTTTTTAACTAACTGATGAACTGATTAGTGATTAGTTATTTTGATTAATGCTCGCTTAAAAGTTCTCTTTAAAAATCATAAGACTACCAATAACAACTTATTTATTTACTTGTTAATGCATATACGTTATTTTTGAGCTGGTGCACGTAACCTTACCACTTTAACTGATTAAATGTGTGGTTTTGTTTGAAGTCAAACCAATCAAGGAACGATCAATTAGCTGATAAACATTCTTGGCGGAAGATTTCCCCGCCACCCAAACAAATTACATGATAAAACCCACCTATCACCGCTGACTCATGGGTTTATTGTCGAGTAGTTGGTGACGTTCAGCTGTTTATGTTCCAAATCAAACTTTACAGTGGTTCCAATATCAAAAAGATTCCCCTTGATAACGATGCAAAGAGCGTGCCATAAAGCTATTGAATTTGCAAGAGGCGCGTTATCAGTTTACAATTATTGTGAGGAAAACCCTGTTACTCTGCTATAAAAATTGAACTAGTAATGCAGTTTGTTGGGGAATTAAATTACAAACTTTTAGAGGTATGTCCCTTGAAAATCGGATTAAAATTGGAAAAGTAATGGATTTGGATTTAGTGGTTTGTGAACAAAATTGATTCGAAGGTTGTCAATTTGTTAGTCACCTTATTTAACACTCTGAACTGACATTTATAGAAATTATTAGAAATATCCAACATGTTTAAAAAAACCTTTCGAGATAAAAATCCTGAAAAATATCAGCTGCTGCTATCATAGTTATTTTTTCTGAAGCAGAAAGCTCATGTCTCAAAGTCAATGGACTCTTTCCATAGAGAAGCTGCGATCGAATCAGGTTTTTGCGTCAACTGCTGTTGCGTTAGTTCTATCAGATCGAGCGCTCTTTCGCTTAGTGGCTCTCGGAGCCAAGACAGCAGCTTGTTTTGTGTGTTTGGCGGTGCTGTGTCAAATGGGTTAAAGCTCTCCTCTCCGGCTGGCTCCCCTGAATCTCGGGAGCAAGCCGAGCAACCTAAGCCCCATGCCACTTGTATTTCACTCTCCATTATCGCAGTGACGACGGCGAACATTGTTCGATACTGACAATTGAAATACAAATTGTACGACCGATAAGATAAACGCTCCGAAAATTTGTATTTGAAAGAACTATTGATTCAGCATTTTTCGCACCTTCAGTTGCAGACTTGCGGTCAGTCTTCGGTTGGAGCGCTTCGCCAGCAGTCGCATTTTCGGGATCAATATCAGGATGACAGCCAGCGAGGGAGCCGCGCGAATTCAGTTCAAGGCGCTGAAGGGATTTCCGGAAAAAACCACTGATAAGCTGGAGACACAGGCCTTCCTCGCCGCCTCCAAGGAGATAGTAACCGTCATAGGTGATAACGCACCCACCCAATCGATTTGAATGCGCTCATATAACTTTAACTCTGTGGTTTTACATTTTCCAGAGAGCTTCGGCAAACTCTTTACACCCGTGATAAACGACATGAACGGAAACATAAACGTAAGCTGAGTTCGAACTTCAGGTCTAAGATAATAGACATTCCATTAGGCCTTAAATAGATATTTTAGTAGTACAAAGACTGATCTTTTTTAAAGTTATTTAAACTTTCCTTACCTTATAGTTCTTTTCGCTAAAGTATTTTGAATTGTTGTAGATTTAACCATTATCTAAGATTGTCTTTCCATACAACTTATATTTTAACCTCCATTTTAGCTTTGTTAAATATTTAAAATTGCTATAATTTACTTTAAAGACAAGGAAACTTCAATGAATCAGACAGAGACAATTTTATTTATCAAATATATGTTTAAGTTGTTTGAAAAGATCATTTCATTTTCAAAGTTTTTAAAGACAAAGATTTCTTCTATCATTAAATGATTTATTTATACAACTTCATTTCCTCAGAAACTGACAAAAGCCTACGGCGCGGATGTGCTGAAGTACCAATATCTGGAGGATCTGATTGTGCTGAACGTGAACGTGGACGACTTTGCGGCGAACGCGTTGCTCTGGCTGAAGCGCGGCCTCCAGCTGATTTGCACCTTCTTCGAGAACATCTACAACGACACCCAGGCCAAGGAGGCACTGAAGCAGCACCTGCAGGACGCCTACGAGCGCACACTGAAGCCCTACCACGGCTTCATTGTCCAGAGCACAATCAAGGTGGGTTCATACACACACGCACTCTCTTTCTGTAACACACTTAAACTCCAATGGCCTTGCAGATAATCTACAGCTGGGTGCCAACGCGCAGCCAATTGCTGGGCCAGGGAGCTGCCCAGGAGGAGAATATCGAAGTGCTGACCAGCTTTCTGCCCACAATGCGCGCCCATTTGGACTCCATTGACGCCCTGCTGAAGGCGCACAATCTGGACGATGCCAAGAAGGTGTGATCGTCGGGGATCCGTAGCCGTTCCTTAGCTTAGCTTAGCTTAAATCGCTTATCCTACTTTATTATTTATGCCAATGTTCAAGTAAACCTCAGAGTCCTACTCTACACATCACTTTGATTCCGGGGAGCGTCGCACTCGTCGCCTTTGCTCGCTGGAGGCGGAAGTGGGCGAACCGACAACAGACTGATGATCCTCCGGCAGTTCTTCCTCTTCGGAGGACGCTGGCATCTTTGCGCCTGGCTTGTAGATAACAAAGTGGAACAGGCAAACGATTATCTCCAAGCCTATTAGTGCAAAAACGGCGTTTGTAATTATACGGAGCCACAAACCACGACCAGCGGAGGAAAGGCGAAGGAAGACCATGGAGGGCAGCAGGATGCAGGGCGTTACCGTGAGCAGCAGCCACATGGCGGTGGCTCCCGAGCACAGGTTCACCGAGTAGCCGGCGTACAAGCGTGCGGATTCAGCGGACACAGCCAAAATGTAGGCCACCACTATGGAAAGGCCCTCCCAGTTCCATAGGTGATGCAACTAAAACGGTTTTTCAGATGGAAAACAGTTTATTGTGGAATTATCTAGAGAGAACTCCCAAGTGTAGACTCACCCGGATGAGCATGTGGATCAGGTAGCTCATGGCCCACGCCACGGACACATAGGTATTGGCCTGGAGCAACATTTGGAGCACTAGATTCGCCCGGTGTGGCGATACTGAGTATGTCATTTTTTGGCTAGAATCTTTTGGGTGTCCAAGTGTAGTTTGTGCTGGCGATGGAGCCTTTCTTTAGCCAGTTTAATTTGTTGTTTTTCGTTGGTTGTCGAGGCAACGTAACCAGCTGTCAAAGTCAAGTGCTGCGAGTCCCGGTAAATCCTGGTAGATGCAGGACTCAAGCTGGCTGCTCTATCACTCGAAAAGATTCCGTTAGTCGCACAAGAAAAGTTCAGTTTTTTTCTACTAAATTTAAAATTCTACAAATATTTTGACAATTTCAAAACATTTACAAATAAATGACAGTTCTATAAGGTTATGCCTATTTTAAAAAATTCCTACAAATTAAAAACGAAATATTTAAATAGGGAATGTATAATAAATATAATACATCCCACTGCTGAAAATCTCTATCTGCAAAATATTTTTGTGGAACTCTCAGCTTTAAACCATATTCAAAGCGTATTAATTCGCAGAACCATGACGAAATCGAACATTAAACAGCGCGAAGCTAATCGAATGAGAGTCACCCTTGCGAAGGTTGGAATTTAACAAAACATGCAGGAGCAACGAGTGCGGTGGTGCAGCTTGTTGGTTATCGTAGTGGCCGGCGCCATCTGGCAGGTGTCCCTGGGCATCAGCAACAGTGAGCGCCGCTTCCAGTGCCTCCGGACGCGGATGGTAGGCCAGACGAACTGCTCGCCCTGCTCCGAACAGTACGTCTTCAATCGGAGCAGTGGCTATCGGAGATGTGAGCACGTCAACGGACGCTGCTTTCCGCATCGCACGGTTTTTGCCAACGCCCGCCTGTGCGAGATCATCTGCCAGCCGTTCATTCAGCGACCCACCCTCCACGAGGTGACCACCACAGCGAAACCGATCATAGAGCCCTTTCCGGACAGCGAGGAGGAATTCTAGTCAGGTTTCAACAAAAGGTTTTATTCAATTAACTTTGGGTATGGGAATATTCGATCAATGGTAATGATTCGTATGGCAATGGCTAACAATCCTTTCAGGAGATTCAGATTTAATAGGGCACACTCGTGTTGAATGCCACTTCCAACGCGGTCACTGCAAATATAAAGAGATTAAAATTAAACAGCAAAATCATCTGCAATACAACTAATTAACTTACGGAAACCGTAGTCGTGCTTGTAAACCAGCGAATTGAGAATCTCGGCGAGCGTTTGATGGCACCGTATGTATGTCATCTCGATCTCCACCACCTGGTTAAGGGCCAGGTACTCCAGACCCCGACCGTTCGACTCGTTTTCGGCATCGCCGTTCTCCGATTGGCTGACATCCAGGCTGAGGGCATCGTTGTCGCCCAGATAGCAGGTGCAGCAGGTCCACTCCATGTCCAGCACGAATACCAAGTGGAAGAGCTGATCGAGGGCGTTGCGAAAGGCTGTGAACTCGTCGGTCAGCAAGCAGTGGGTCCTTAGCAGCAACACATGCTCGTCGTGCTGGGTCCTCAACTCCCGGATGTTTTGGCACTGGCCAATCTGGAGCTCAAACTGCTGGCCCACGACCTGCATGATGTGTGTGTGCAGGCTGTTGATCACGTAAATCATCCAAAAGCGCAGGATCTCCAGCCGGCGAATCGTTAGGCCGAGCAGGTCCAAGGGCGCGTACGGATTTCCCTCGAGGCGACGCAGAAAGACAAGGTTCTCCAGCTTCCAGACGGCCCACTTCACCTTCAACATGAGTCGCCACACCGAATTGTAGCCCTGCATGTGTTTCGGTGTGACAACGCGCTGCATGGCCACTGGCAGGTCGTAGTACAGTTCCAGGGCGTCCACTGCCTCGTGAACCTTGTTTGAGACGCAGGCCACCTTGGATATCACCTTCAACTGAAGGTTATCGGCCAAATGGGCGTAGTGCGGGAACAGCACCTCGTAGAGTTTGGCATTAAGCCGCGAATTCTGCGCCCAGTCCTCGCTCTTTTCGATGCGTGTGAAGAGTGCGGTGTAGAAGGGCAGGAGCAGATAGTACGCCTCCAGCATCATTGTGTGCCGCAGGAATCGCGACACCTCGCCAAGTTGCAAGTCCACGCAATAAGCTCGCATCGCGTACTCGTTCGCCAGACACTGCCTCCTTTGCAGAAGCTTGCGCAGAGCCTCCGGCAGCTCGTCCTTCAGCTGCAGGCAAGTGGATTGCTCCAAGCGCCGGAAAACCTCCATCACTTGCATTGGCGTTTTGTTCTCGCTGTGGCGTTGTCGCTCCAAAATCCTTTCCCTCGCCGGTCGCGTAAATATGGCCATTAGATCAAGATTGTGAATGCCTTGCGCGTTCTTCACCAACTGTTCGTCGGACGCCCTACGCAGATCTTTTTTCCCCTCCGGTTGAGCTTCCTCGTCCGTCGGAACGTTGCTGCAGTAGATTCTTAGCTGGGCGAAGAGTTGGGCGGTCAGCTCCTCGTAGAGTGAGCGCGGCTGGCTTTCGTTGTTGTTGGCCAGCATATCGCCAAGTAAATTAACGTTGGCCAGCAGATCCTGCGTTTCACCCGACTCCAAAGCGTGCTTCAGCAGGAGCTGGTAAAAGGGGCACTCGTGAAGCTTTTTGAATATCTCCACGGCCTCAGAACCTTCGCTCGAACTCACGCAACGCTTGCGCACATAGCCGCTTCGCTCGGTGTCCTCCTCGACCCTTCGAAAGCAGTATGATTATTAAGTTAGCTTATCGAATAGGTAAAGCATTACCATCTCTCCACTATAAACTCGTTCAGGCGATCCTCCAGCGTGGCCCTGCGCCACCAGGAGTCGATGATGTTGCAGTAGCGCTTGAGGGACACCAAGAGCAGGGCTGTCGCTAGTTTCTGGTGCAGCACCTGCGGCTTTGTGTGGTTATATAGTCTGGATAGCAAGTAGGCGCTACGCAGGTGTGGAGGACCTCGTTCCAGGATGGCATCTTTGGCCAGGCTGCGCAGCAACTTCAGCTGGCGAAAGTGTGGCCTGAACTCAAACACAAAGTGGACCAGCGTACTCTTAGCGGGCTCCCTAACGACACGCTCCTCGAAAGCGATGAGTAGCTGGCTAATTGGTCGGACAAGATCCCTCAAGCCGTAGGCAAAGCACTCCAAGGTGCCGGTTACGCTGCCATCAAAGGCCAGTGTGTAGGCATCGATGATGCGTCGCAGCTCCATCATATCCTCCAGCGCGGGCACCACATCATATTCCAGAAAGCGTTTCAATGCACGCTGAAAGCCGCAATTGAGTAAACGGGAGATTAACAAGACTTTTTTGCATCCTTACCGCTGACACTGTGCAAATGCTGACATTAGGGCGGACAAGAATGCGACGCTCAGGACTGTTGAGTTCGAAAAAACAACAGCTTTCCGGACGCACAAACATGAGCAGGATTTCCCTGACGAGACAGGACTCCGTGACGGTTTTCGGTAGCGGTAGATTCAAAAGACCGCGGCTACTGTGGTTCAAAAACTGCACGTAGCTCACGGCAAAGTTGGCCAACGGATCCGCTTCTGCAGGCAGGGCAAAGACCTTAACGTCTTCGCGCCACCAATGATTATGGATTGTCCGCTGAAGAACATCCGTATTTCGATCACTGGTCTGCAATTCGGTGGTGGCGGCCGGGGGTTGGAGAGCCGGTAACTGAAGCAGCTTGCTCTTTTTCAGCTTAGAGCTAAAACCGTTCAGGTTGAGCACCTGCGGCTGGGTGATGCGGAAGACGTCGCTGGCAGTTTCGCTGACGGCACATTCGGGCGGCAGATACTTGGTATTGCCGTTGCCATTTCTATTTGGAACGGCCACCTGCATTGCCTGCTCATAAACATGGGCCATTTCGGGCAGGGCCAGCGAGGTGCCCATATTCTCTTCAGGATGCAAAGTGCTGGTTGAGTCATTATCCGATTCGTCCGACCAGTCCTTTATAAAAGAAAGATACATATGTCATTTGGATGTATAGGCATTTATATAATTCCCAAGCTGCTCACACTTAAGCTGTCCGAACTATCCATGTCTGGTGGTTCCAGGAAATCCTCGCTTAGCAGCGCCACCCAGTCCACCTCCGCTTCCACCGAATTGGGCGGGATCCAGGCTTCTGCAGCCCGCTTTTCCGTCATCTCTGCCTCCTTAACGTCGCTGATTCCGCGCAACCGGCGCCGGGTCATTAGCTCCCGATCGCGCCGGATGTTCTGCACCGGTTCGTTAGTCATGGCGAGCAGAAAGTCGAGCAGCGACCACTCCATGTCCGGCTGGCCCATCCCGCGATGTCCCGGTATTGCCAGCACCTTGTTGGCCAGCTCCATTAGGGTTTCTCCGAACGAGGACATACCCTCCACCCGGAAACGCTCCACCAGATCGTTCATGATGCGTCTCACCTCGAAGTGATTGGTGCTCGTAAAGTGATACCGACGCAGCTGCTCCCATGCCGTCCGCTCCCGCTTGCGCAAATCCTGTTGGCTAGCCTGTTACAAAACATGAGTTGAATTAAAGTACATTTTTGTTTTTTAAACTCACCTCCGGACCGGACAGATTCCTGACCAGTTTCTGCACATTGTCCGCCAAACGGGCGTTGAAATCGGCTCCGGTCATACCTGCAATTCCCAACGGTTCACCACTGCCCCCAAAATTCACAAACTTGTCCTTGTTTTTTAAACAAAAACAAAATTATTAACAAATGGCGCCCTATTTGGCAGCAACAACAAAAACCGTTCAGCGGGGATGCCTATCGAATTTGTCATCGATAGCACTACTTAACTTACACCTTTTAAAATAAAGTTTTAGCTCGGGTTTTTGTATTTATATTGAGAGTAATGCAATGATTTTGGGTATAAGCGTGGAATATAGATCCAAAAAAGTTATTATGATGGCATGGTTTTTTGCCTTAAACTGAAATAATAAACAAATGGTACGGCGGTCACTTGGGAACTAGTTCCAACAGCTGGTTAACAATCGATAAATAGATATTGAAATCAAATGTAAACAACCTTTATCAGCTTATTGATTTGAATTAGATTTCTGGAAAGGATCATCATGACTAACCCTATCTACGTAATTCTGGGCTCCGGCGGCCACACGGCAGAAATGTGCAAACTGACTCAGGCGCTGCTGCAGCAGGAAGACGTCCAGCAGGCGAAGAAGTACCATCCTATTCGCTTAATCCTGGCCAGCAGTGATGCCACCTCGGAGCGCCAGTTTCGGCAGACTATTCCACAGGCATCCCAAGCAGAAGTGCTGAGGGTGCCGCGCAGTCGCAGCGTGGGTCAATCCTGGTTGACCAGCATCTTCACTACCTTGTGGGCGCTCCTCTTCAGCTGCTACCTTGTGTGGCGGGATCGCCCGCAGCTGATTCTGTGCAACGGCCCCGGCACCTGTGTGCCCTTCTGCTACGCAGCCTACTTCTGGCGCCTCCTCGGGCGCCTGCCCTCGAACTCAAGGATTGTGTTTGTGGAGAGCTTCTGTCGCGTGGAGACGCTGTCCTTGAGTGGTCGCCTGCTCCTGCCGCTGGCCGATCTCTTCGTGGTCCACTGGCCATCGCTCGCCACACGCTACGCAAATAGAAAAAACCTTCGGTATTTTGGCCGCATCTTGTAATATAATAGTTTTATTCACAGATCGTTAACAAATGAAAAAAAAAAGTACATTCAGTGGTACATAAATATGGATAGCTTCATTGTTGCTTTAGCGGTATTAGCTGTATGCTTAGCGACGGTTCTTGGTGCAAACGGAGCGGTGCGCCTCCAGCTGGTGGCCCATCAGCTCCTGGCCGCATTTCGGGCACCCCACGGTCTGCTTAAACAGGTTGCGCTGGCGGCGCTGACGAGGAGTAAGCTCATCCTCGCTCGACTCCACTGCGACCACGGAATCATTGGAGGAGTTCAGGTTTAACTCGGCAATCTCCTCATCGGTGTAACCGGCGTTGCGGAGAAATTGTTGTTGTGAATCGCGACTCTGTGGCTTGGAGCCGCGGGAAGTGGATGGTTTCGAGCCGCCGGGCTTCTTTGCTGGGTTCTTCGAAGTGCCCTTGCGGCTAAAAGATGGCGGCTCCACGCGAACCGTAATGCTGCAGCCCTCGAAGTGATTGGCCAGCTGAGTACGCTTCATCTTCTCAAAGCAAATCGGACAGGAGACGATGTCGTTGTCCACACAATTAGAGTAATTCGAGCAAGTGGGCATGGCGGCGTTCTCGCGCTGGAACTCCTTCAACAGGGTGTCTTCCCCAAAGAGATCATCGATGATGGACTGGTCGGCCAACTCGGTGGCAGCAGTGAGGCTTATATCGTTGTCCGCCTCATTGTCATTGTATTCGTCGTCAATGAAAAGGATGTCGTCTTCAGTATAGCTCGATTCCTCCTCCATCACCTCGCGTTTGATGTTCATGGTGCGCTGCTGCTGGCTCATGCGCGTCTTAGGCCCCGGCACCATGACTTCCTCCGACTCGCTTCCATCGTCATCCAGGTTTACAGTGGGAACGGATGTATTTTGGATCCACACATCATCGTCGTATGACTCCCAGGTAACGATTTCGTCGTCTGCGGATGGGCGACGTCTCTTTCTGGCTGGCACCACCTCCGGCTTACTCGGTTCTTGCGAGGTGTTAGTCTGGCCGAATCGCTTTAGACGAATCTTACGGAGATCCGATTCATTAATCTTTACATCTGCATTCGGATTCCCGCCATTGAGACTGTATCCCGGCCCGTTCATCTCAGCGTTAGCCCGTGGAGTCTGTCGTCCTCCGGCAGGTTCGTTGTCATCGTCACTGCTGCAAAGATCAGCGAAGCCAACGACATTGGAGCCACGCTTTTTGGCTGCAGCCGGTTTCTCCGGCCTGACAAATGGTTTGGACGAGAGGCCCGGATATGAGGTCGGCGGCACAGCGCTTACCAGGTTGCCCAGTAAAGCGGTATCGATTGCCGCTTTCTTGTCCGCCGGTGGGATCGGTTTCTTGTTCAGCCATTCGTATAAGTCCTGTTGATCTTGGCTAGGCTTCGGCGGCGGCTTAACCGGTTTTGGTGCTTTTATCTTGGCGGTCTGCGGTTCGCCCACCTTCATAAAGGTGCCTCCGCACTCGCGCTGGTGCTTGGCCCACCACTGGTCGTTGGGTCCGGGTGCCCGGTTGCTGGTGCGCTTCACATAGCCCTGGAATGGCGTGCGATTCTGGCAGATGCCTGTGCAGCGCCAGATGTGCGTGCGATAGGCGGCAACCTCGTCGTGGAAGGAGTGGTACACGGTGATGTTGGTGCCGGCCACCTTGTTGATCGTCTCCATGATGCGCTTGAAATTGGGGCCGTGGCCCCCGTTACCCTCGCGAATGTTAAGTACAAAGCAATAAGCGTGGATCATCTCGTGCTGGCATGAAAAATATTTTAGATGTTTATGTTATACCATCAATGGATTACTGCGTATATAAATAATTAAGTAAGCTGATCAGCTCACCAGCAGTGTCTCCACGAGATCCTTGCGTGGACGCAGCTTGAGTAGTGGCTCACTGAGCCGGATGGTGACCTCCTTGAAGTACGCAGAGCCTCTCTGGTAGCAGATTCCAGCGCACGAGTACATGCGCTTGCTCCATTCGAGGGCAACTGCTCCCAGGCGCTGCTGGAAGAACTTCTCATCAAAGCGCAAAAACATTGAGTAAATGTCCGGAGTTGGATCGACCAGCTCCCACTGCGGATGGACCAGGTTCACGGTCTGGTTGAGAAAATCATCATGGCTGGCCTGAATGGCGGTCTTTGGCTGCTGTTTTTTAGCAGCAGCGGCTTTTATTACAGTCTTATTGTTATTCATTGTGCTCTGAAATAATGATTCGATATCGACAATGTCGAGTTGTTAAAATAAGTGAGTTCTTATAAAGGAAGTTGGTCTAAAGGAAAACTCTAAGCCTCCATTTCCACTCACCGATTTCGGGTTATTTGAGGGGTACACAAACTGTAAACTAGTGTCCAAATCACTGTCCCTGGCCGTTTCCTGGACTGGCTCATTCTCCGCATCCATAAGGGCCTGGATTTTAACGGCCAGCTCGTAGTCTGACTGAAATTTACATTGCCAGCGTTAGGAATTCCCCGTTTTCTGCGCAGCAATTTCTACTTACCTGGGGGTCAACTTCTGCGTTGGAATTATTTAGATTCGACTCCCCATTCAGCTGCTTGTCCAGCATCATGGCGTAGAGGAGATCTTCTGCATCCGACATAGTGGACACTTTGTTGATATATTGTGGCTCTCAAAGACAGAATTTGCAAATAATTGCAAAAATTCTTTAGAATTCGCGCTTTTTGCGCTTAATGTGGCCAACCTCATGAGAAAAAAAAGGGATATTTTCAAGTAGGGACAGGAACCGATATTTGGAAGTACGATGCGATATTTGACTATGTTTTTATAGTGCAATAATTTATAATTGTTAAAAAAAGCTCAATATTACATTTTTCAAATAAATAAACGTTGTATAATGTATTTAAATTAAATCTGTATTTGGAATTTAATAACGACAAGGTGGTATAAATAAGAGGTTAAGGGGTTAAGCATGCGGATTCAAATGAATAGGAACTAAAAAAAACTGCCAACAACAAAAAGTTGGACATACTTTAAGCGTTTTAAGCCCATAAAACAGAATTTTAATTTTTAAAGATTTTTAGTTTTGGTTTTACAAATTAATCGCCTAAGGTCCATCTCTTATTGCACCTTTTCTGTTTTCATTTGAAATCCGCTTCTTCGAATTGATTTTTTTGCGCATGCGCGACAAGTTTAATTGTTCAGTGGGCGATAACGAATTTGAAAACGCAGGATCTAATGGGTGGCCACCCAAATTTAACGAGGATTTAGGGAGGGGAGAAGAGTGTCTAAGCTCGTAAAAAAAAGCATCGATATCAGGATATCCTAGTATCGATGCTGCATTGTCCTATAATTGCACATCACTCAAAAAGCCGACATTTTTAACGTTCAATTCCGTTTCCGGAAAGGAGTCGACCGGTAAAGTGATAACCTGCTAAGCCTCAAATAAAAAAAAAATGATAAAGTACATGAGCAAGCGCCAGAAGAAACGCAAGAGGGCCGGTCAGAGGCATAGTGAACACCAAAAAGTATAAAGTAATTGCTCCTCGCCATTTTCGGTTCGCTCATTTGGTTTTTCTTTAATTAGGTGACAACTACGAAAATTCAGCCTAGGGAGGGGTACATTAAACAACCAAATCCACCGGCCGGTAAGTCATCAATTATCTTCGCCAAATAGCTCGTCTGTCCGGCGTCATAAACAAAGCCCGCGAATATATAAACAAATCGCGGGAATATAACACTGGGGGAATTTGCATGGGGGAGATCGTTTTGCTGACCATTAAAATGCAAGCCCGCACAACTCCTTTCATTTACTCCCTCTGGATTGTTTGCCTTTGGCATATCTCCCCAAATTCCCCGTAGAAAACCTTAAAGAAAACGGACAGAGTTCTTTCCAATTTTTCCCGGTTGCATTGTGCTCTATCTGCCTCATCCTCTAGCCATCCCGCTCTAATTTTCCTATTTGCATGTGAGTGTTGGTAAGCCATGTTTGAACAAGAATGCAAAAAAAAAGAAAATGTCGGGTCGGATTCATTTACATTTGCGGAGCTTTTTTGATTTCACCTGCAGGAAGCGAAGCAATAAAAGCGATTAAAAATAAAATGACTATGTTAAAAAAAGTGTAAATGTGATAACTCTATAAGAGATTAAAAAAATAACTGTGTTCCTTTCTTTTTCCAAAATTTGGGATGCAAAAGATGTTTACAAATTGCTTCTTCTTTCGTTCGCCATTTTGGTTTCTTTCTTTTTTCTTCTAGAGACACACATTTTTTTCATTCTCGAAAAAGGATTTCGATCACCATTTTGGTTTATTTGCCCTTTCTTTTAGAAACCCCATCCATACATACGTATTTTAGCCTTGAAAATCAGAGCACGAGTTTAGATATCAGTTATTGTATGCTTTTTACCCTTTCATTTTTTCCGGTTTGCAATATTATACCTTTTTTTTATGCCTTTATACCCTTTGAAATCCCGCACTCTTCTTTAAAAATAATTCTTCTTTTTTATTTATCCTGTATGTACATAAAAAAGTTTGGTAAAAAAACAATTTAGAATAAGAATGAACTAACATTAATACTTATAAGCCATTTTTTAGTAAATCAAAATAATTTGTTTGTTTACCCTGTTGTTCACCTAGAATTACTAAAAATAAGAGCCATTAATTTAAACATGAATTGGTTTTTGAAACGATAAAAATTTAAAAACGACAAAACTTCTCTCTCTCTCTCTTCCATTTTAGTTATTAAATTGCAAATCTGATAAAAAGTCAGGACAGAACTGGAACTTTGATCTGCCTTGTTTTTATATCCGTTCAATGCTGCACTCAGAGAAGAAAATATGTATATATTTTTTTAAAATGCAAATGAAGAACTTCACGTTTTTCGAAAAAACACTTGTTAAACATAAATATATTTTGTTCTTCTCTTCAGAGACATTCGTCATTGTTTTTCAGGAATGGCTGTGTGAAAATATGGAGTAACCTCTATTAGTTTACTTTTCTGTTTTTAATGCTCGGACTTAGACACTTTTTCGCCCGCAGATAAACGGCCTCCGCAGTCCTCCATGCCGAAGGACAAGTCGAGCCAGAGCAACAGCAATAGCAATGGCAATGGCAATGGCAATGGCAGTCCGAGGAGCCTGATGGCCAATGGATACTCGCGGGGATCCACCAAGAGCAGCAGCTTCACGAGCGAGGAGAGCAACACGTCCGGCTACATGGAGGAGAAGCTGCCGCGTCCGCCCTTGGGTTACTATCACTACCAAAACGCACACACACCCACCTTGTGTAACTTCATAGATGCTGAGTTCTCGAAACTGCCCACAGGGAAAGCCGACAAGTTGCCGAAGAAGCCATGGCCAAAGAAATTGTTGCCGAAGAAGCCATTGTCGTCCAGCTCCTCCGAGACGGACGTCTTCAGTTCCTGCCTGTCGATCACCAGGGAGCTGAAGCAGGAGCATCTCGATCTCGATCTCGATCTGCCATCCGATCTGTGGGTGCCTGGCCAAGAGGAGGCGCCCACACGCACCTCCGTTCTGTGCGACAACCACAACGATTCCAGCTCCTCGATGTTCTCCGACATGGAGGAGAGCTACTTTTCCGCCTGTGACTTTGGGCCGCTGATGATTGAGGACAAGGGCGATTCGGGGGGCACTGGCTATCCCAACCCTTTGCCCTGGACCAACCCCATGAACCACACCTGTGGCGATGTGCCCGAGGAGTCCGACGAGGATGAACCCGAGGAGGGCCCGGGCCTGAAGCCCATTGGCTACGAGATGCTCTTGTCCAGGCGGGAGTTACGTAAACGGGTCACCAAACTCGTGGAGAGCGTCAAGAGCGTTAGTTATCTGTGGGACGCCCCCGATGCCAAGGACGAAAACCCCTTTGGACCGCCCAAGACCATTTGGAGTGTCGATCGCCATCAGCTGAACCGGACACTGAACCTCAAGGAACCGAGGATCCATCCGGACTCCAATGGCATTCAGTTGCCTCAGGCTGCGCTGCCACAAAGGATATATCCCATCGCCAATCCGTTCTTCTACCTCAACGGATATATGTTCTCGCCGGCCGTTTTCAATGTCTTCACTCCCGAGTACGGACAACCCACGGCCTTCTGTGTCCAACAGCCCGCCAATTGGCAGCCGTGGTGGCGCCAGCGCCTCATCACCAACGGCGACGTCTGGGACGATGCCAACTACATCAACTACGTGGCCCAGATGGAGCCATTTCCGGCGAACGTGGACCCGGATCTGCTGCACGCCGCCCAACTGTACGCCATCTACGGCGAGCACTTCTTCGAGTCGGAGATGGGCAGGCGGTTCTACCAGTACGACCAGCGCGTTCCCCAGCGGACGATCCCGCAGTGGCCCGTCTATCCGCAGGTCCAGTACCAGTACCAGTACCAGTACCAGTATCCCTGGTACCACTTCCAGTATCCCCAATACTACTCGGCTGCTCTCCAGCTCGCCGGCTGGCAGAAGCCCGTGGTCAACTTCAATCCGATTCGCCAGGCACAACAGCAGGTGAATATTCCATTGTTTGCAGGTAATACTTTCAAAACTTATGCAGAGGCTTACAACTAACCCAAAACAAGTTGACTGTTACTAATGTTTCCAAAGTCAAATTCCCAACTTTTAAGCGAAACAATTTGTTAACCAAGCAAGCTAATTCCCCTTTTGTCCACAGCCAATTCGCACATGGAAACTGGAGGCTGGTGGAGGAAGGAAGGCATCTCGCCAGGGGGGATTTGGCCCTGGATTGTCTGGACTTGGAGGGTCTACTGGTCCTGGGAAAGCTGTCGGCACCCACAAGGCAAGTGCCGCTGCTAAAGGTTCGAGTAAATTAGGTGATCCGTAAGTTTTCCTGATGAACCGAATATGTGCAGTTGTTGTTACCATTTCTCTTTTCTTTTCGGTGAAGTGATTTTCGCTTAGGTGTACCAGTGTATAAAAGATAGAAGCTATAGTTTACTAACAACATTTGTAGTATTTTCTAATAGCAAACGTAGTAAACAAATCAGGGTTTGTGTTGATCTGTAAGTAAAAGCTTTCTGTTCTGTCTTGCAGAAGGCAACGGCCAGCATAATCCTGAAGCTGGAGGGCTCCTTGGCGGCAGTTGTCACCACCGGCAAGGTCAGCGGTGCTGGTGGTGCCAGTGGTGCTAATGGTCCGTCGAATGCCACTGGCTCCAGTGAACCACTCGCCTCGAAGCTCGACGACCTCAGCTTAAACGTAACGAACTTTCCACCGCTTGCTCTGCCGAAAAAAAAGAGCAAGAAGTAAATAAATGAAAAGAATAATGGACCTGGACATCAAAATGAGGAACACTCAACTCATTTTCAAAGCACACACGTTTAACACACATTTCATGCCATATACTTTAAAGTAGAATGTCACTAATCCAGAGTCGAAGTTGCATTTAAAAAGCATGCACACATTTTTTTTTTCAAATAACGAAATAAAATGATTAACCATGAATATTAAGGGTAGTTATTAATAGTAGTTTAGTAGCACCTACGAAGCTTTGCCGTCCACTCGCCTAACCAATTTAAGTGCCAAAAAATATTTTCGGCATCGGGCTCGTAATCATTAAAATGTGATAAACATAATATATGAAACAAAGAATTAATTATAAATAAATCAAAATACTTTTAGCCCCATTATTATTTAAAAATAAAACTTAATACTATAAAAAACTATAACCAATTTTCTTTTGAATTTAAACTAGTCGGGTGGTGTAATATTTTTGCACTCTTACTTTTTTGTTGGGTGTTAAAAACGAAGTTGCAAAATTAAGATTTACGTATATGCCAGATGTAAAACAAGAACTAAAACTGTGGAGTCTATTTTCTTTTACTCAAAATTAAAGTTTTGCTGCTTTGCTTGAGAAATTTGAATTAAGAAAACGATATTTGAAAATTTGAAAACGTTCAAAAAGCTTCGATTTAAATTCAAACGATAACACCGTTATTTCCATCCCTAGTTCCGTAGTTTCTTTTTCATCAAGTTAAGACTCCAACCACTGTTATTAAATTAAGGAACCGATAAGCCATCGATTTTCTGAAAATGGATTCATCGATGGTAACATTTCTCCACCTCTAACCAGCAATTGATTACTTTTTTTTGACGCACTCGGTCCCTGTAAATTGGGTTTTTTCGGCGCAAACCAATGGAGGCCCTGGTGAATTACAGCAGCGAGGACGATTTGGACGATCCTGGTTACCAGATACGGGTAAATATAGCAACGCTGCCACGCCGGAAGCAGCTGAAGACTTAATCAAAATCAACGCCAGGGCGCATTTTGTGTACACATTTCTTCTATCATCATTTTTCCTTTTTTTTTCTGTCTTCATTTTGCCCTTGCGTGTGTGTGTATGTGTGCGTATGCGTGTATGTGCAAGGCGTTGAAATATAGATAACTGATCCCACCACCCCAGAAAATCGCCCCCCTTTAATTTAGTTCAAGTATCCTAGTGCTTTAGTAAAATAATGCGAATTTGCTGTTTCTGAATAGTTACAAAATTCCCCTAGGCACCACAACAACAACAACAACTGCATGCGCAGCAGCGACAGCATCAGCATGCAAAAACAACCGTCAACTTCCTAAAGCAGAAGAACCATAATAACAACAATAATGGGAGCAGCGACGGCGACGTTGAGGCCGGCAGAGAGAGCCGCAGCAGCAACAACAACAGTCCGCGGGAACGGGAGCGAGAGAGGGAGAAACCGCGGCGACGCCACCACACTCCTCCGCTGCCGACGTCGCAGCAGCAGAATCACAGGAGCATTGATGAGGTAAAGAATTGCTGTTGTACCAATCGATATATAGTTTGTATATCCTATATTTATATATATATATACGCACTATAAGTGTCTGGGTTGGAGCGGATGCGGATCTGCCATGTGCTATGTTTCCTTCTGCAGCCGCCAACGGCGACTTCAACGCCGACTGCGCTGCTAGCAGTGCCAACTTACAATGGCGGGCAGAATATTAGCACCACCAGATTATCACATCAAATCAATAATGCAGCCTTGTTCTCAATTTCTATGCTCTAAAGCTCAAAACGAATTGAGGACATGCCTGCAGGACATTCTTTTTCATGGGTGCTCTTAAAATCAAAGCCAAGTCCCTCTTGATGTTCTGACTTGACAAACACCTAACAGGTGTGTTCAAAATATTAGCAGTGGGGGCATTTTATTCGCTATACAGTAGATTACAAGTTAAAAAAATGTTTCTGTTGGAGAACTAGAGAAAGTTTTATAATTTTCAAGCTAACGCTTTATGGTGCTTTTTAACATAAGATTTTCAATTATAATATAATTTTTATTGGGTTGTATTCCAATTATTAAAAGATTAACAGGCGTTTCTTTCCCATTAAATGATTACAATAAATGCGGTGGCTTTGTGATATCATTTTTATAGTAGATAAACGATTAGCTACAATAAATTATACATTTATAACATATGTACTTAAATAGGTTGAAGAAGACACATTCTTATGAACTAATCCCTATAAATGTTGGCTTACTGTGAAGAAAGACAAATAATTTAAATAAGAATGGTAAGGGCTAGTGAGTAAGGTATCCAAAATTAGAAAACCAAATTATTTAGCAAGAAGATAGGGGCTTGCTATTTTAATGAAATGCAGAACTGATTTGATTGGATTAAGTGTTTAATAGACATAACTTTCGGTGCTATTATTCTGTGAACAGCTGCACCCTTCTGAAAATGTGAATATATGTACGTCCCTAAATCGATCTGCCCGATCGGCGACATGCGCTCCAACCCTCCCCCTTCCAAAAAAGAAATTGTGTAAATTTAGCCACTGCCAGCTTGTTATGAAGCAAAAAAAAAAAAAAACCAAAACAAAATTTCTGTTTCTGTCGGTCTGCTTGCGATCACACACTTTGTTGTTGTTTGGCCCGCTTAGTTAAGTTTAAAAACTTTATATGCCAATTAATATTTAAATGACTAAACTCTACCATTTTATTATCATTGTTGTTACGTAAACGAAACGAAACCGAACCAAACCAAACCAAACCAAAACAAAACTGAAAACCAAAATGAAAAAACCATTCTCGAAATTAAGAATCAAATTAAAAAGAAAATCCTGACCTACGACCATTGACGAAACCCCGCGATCGTAGTAATCGCTCGATAACCAAATAGCTACTTCGATAATGCGACAATCGAAACAATCGCTCAGATTTGTAGAGGCTAGGCTTGTGTGCGATCTCAGTGGCTGTGTTGGTTGGCGAGTGTCCTGAATCGATTTTCAGGACACACTCACCACACTCTCGCCCGCGCACACACACACACACACTCACTGGTGGCGCGAAAGCTAGCGAGAAAGCGATAGAGAGCGAAAGAGTGAGAAAGAGAGAAAAAGAGAGAGCGAGAGAGAAGCTCAAGCCGCACGAAAGTGAGTATAAAAAAGCGATCAAATAGAACTTAACACCTCTCTAAGCAATCTAGGATACAGGATTACCCCGGAAAGGACCTTCGGCTGGCGGCCACAGCCCATCCTCTTACATTTCTAGCATCTAGCATCTAGTATCCAGCATTTAGCATCTAGACCTAGACTCCTAGTCGCCAGCGCCGTTTTGTTGGTTCGCTCTAATGTAATGCTCCTCGGTGGGTTGCTTTATCCCGTTGCAGGACTCGCAGACCGGCTTTCGCCACCGCCAGGAGCGGGAGAAAGACAAGGACCGGGAAAGGGACAGAGATCGCGAACGGGACCGGGACAGGGAACGCGAGCGGGAAAGGGACAAGGATCGCGAGCGCGAGAAACGCGACATGGACCGCAGTCGGGACAAAGGACGCGACAAGGATCACAGCAAGGTGAGTGAGCCCCTAACACCTGCATGATATTTCAATTAATTGGATATAAATATCTTTTATTTGTGTTTCATTTCAGGGCGACCATCGCCACCATCGTACCAAAGACGGCAACAGCCATAGGGAGCGGGAACGCGACCGGGAGCGCGACAGGGAGCATCGGGATCGGGACAAGGATCGGGAGCGCAGGCGTTCGGAGAAGAGCGGTCGCCACCACGGCGGTGGCAAGGAGCGCCATCACCATCATCACAACAACTCGTCGTCCTCCTCGTCAGTCGCCGCTGCAGGCCTGAATCCGGCCGGTCGTCGCTCCTACGACGACGGTCGAAGTCGTCGTCGCCGCGACTCGCGATCCCGTTCCCGCACACCCACCGGCACGCCGCCCAGCCGTCGCCGCCAGCAGTCGCAGCAGTCGCGCAAGTACCGCGAACGCGACTCCAGCAGCCGCTCCAGATCTCCAAAGGAAGAGCACTCGCTGCCACTGCGCGGCGGAGCAGCTGCCGGAGCCCATCTGCTGCTGGGCAAAGGAGCAAGCAGCGGGGGAGGATCTTCCGGATCGGGATCGGGATCAGCAGCAGCAGCGGCTGCGGCGGCCGCTCTGGTGGCCGCCAATGCAGCGGCCGCAGCGATGGCAGCAGCCTCATCCGGCGGAGGAGGAGTAGGAAGTGGAGGTGGTGCAGGAGGAGGAGGAGGGGGAGGGGGAGGTCTTCTTCCCACGCCCAACTACGCACCCAAGATACCCTCGCTGATGTCCCTGGAACTGAGCACACCGGCGGTGGCAGCACCCGCAGCCCTAGAACACATCCAGCTGCCCAGCTACTACAATCCGGGCATCATCAACGCCAATCGCTATGCGGAGCAGCAGCAGAAGCGCAAGCTGCTGTGGGGATCGAAGAAGAGCGAGGACTCGGCGAACAAGTGGGGCAATGCGCACTTCTCCCAGGACTCCGATGGCAAGGTGGCCTCCAAGTTTATGCGGCTGATGGGCATCAAGAATGCGGGCTCGTCCGGCGATGGAGGCGAGGCCACCGAAGCAGAGGCTAGCAACGGAAGTGCGGCCGCCGGCGAGGGCGGAGGAGCCGGAGGCGGCGGCGGAGGAGGAGCATCGGCAGCATCGGCGGGCGGAACGAAGGTACCCACGGATGTGCAGCAGCGACAGCGCATGTTCTCCAACATGGAGCAGCAGTACGAGATGGCGCGAGCCGCCACCCATACGATGCGGGGCGTGGGACTTGGCTTTGGCTCCCAGCCGCGCACCTTTTAGAGAGCGAAAGGCGCCCCAGGACGAGGACGAGGACGCGGACGACGAGGGCGATCGCAACCAGGCTGTAAATACCATGCCACTCACTCAACTCATTAGTCATGTCAAGAAGTTTCCCCTCAACCACTTTTTGTTTGTGTTGAGCAAATGTTTTTGATTTCAAATAAACGTTGCAACCGAATTTGTCAAGTGGCGTGGCTTTCTCCTAAGAAACGAATAAATGAAGCAAACAATTGCTTTGACTTCCGTCAAGTAATGGATATATTTAATTATTTTTAAGATGGCATCCCCAATGAAGTTATTCATTAGTTCTATCCTACGGATTGCTTTTGTCCACCTTGGTAATGGTTGGTGGAAATGGCGGAGGAGGGAGGAAGAACAAGGGACCTGCGTGGATTGTTTTAACGTAATTTGAATTATCTTGGAAAGCTCAACTTGGTGCATTTAATCCCTGGACAGCAGTTGAATGTAGATTGGTAGACAATTCATTTATTTACCTTCTTCGAATAGTCCTTACTCCATACTTTCCAAAGTTGTCAATTTTTATAGGATAAGTATTTCTGATTAACTCGGCTTATAATCGTTAAAGTACAGAACTAAAGTTCGAAAAGAGTCAACTTGACAAGTTTAACACATTAGTATTAAGGCATACCTGCCAAACAAAAAGGTAGGTAAAAAGGAAAACAGTTAAAACCTTTTGCAGCATATTCCTTTTTTCAGTCATTGCTATTTATATTTTGTTACTTCCTTACAATTAAAACGAGAATATTTTTAAAGTATTTAAATCATTTTGAATTTTTGCACCGAGTGCCACAGCATCCAGCTCTTCGTCGCGCTGTGCTGCGGCCAGTTTGCCTATCGGCAATCGATACCTTGGCCAATAACAATAACAATAACAAAATCAGCTGCAGTTTGTGCCACGCAAAAAATTGCCCAAAAAAACTAGACAAAATTCGCCCCAAATCCTTAGTTCAGCCGCAAAAAAAAACACAAGAAAGTGATCGAGAAGCACAACCACGCCCCCGACCGCCCCCCAAAAAGATGTCGTGGCTGAATAACAGTCTCAGCACGCTGAAGGGCCAACTGACCAACTTGGCCCAGGAAGTTTTGGCCGAAACGGCAGGACCCGGCGATCCGGAGTTCGAAGGACATGGTCAGAGTGCCGAGCAGCAGGCCAAAACGTCGCTGCAATTGCTGGCGGAGACGCAGGAGCAAAAGGAGCAGCTGGACAGGCGATGCGAAGAGAAGGATCGGGAGGTGAGTCCACCAGTCTCACTTTTGTGGCTTCGTCACTCACATAGATCCCCTTTTCTTATCCCCCACATCCAGATTGCCGCACTGCGAAGAGAATTGTCGAAATTGAAGCAGCAGGAACCGAAAGGCAGCACATCAGCGAAGGAAAATCAACTGGTAAGTGGAACCTGCAGCTGGCTGCCGGGCCAACCCATTTCCGGTGCCCTCTCCACCTTCCAGGAATCCCCAATCCACCACTGCACTCCAGTGTTTGCCCGGCTTTATCTTTCGGCCGCGATAAGCCCAGCTCTCTTTCGGCCACATATCCCTGTATTAATATTTAAACTGCGATAAGCTAGGAGTCGGCACTACCCGACTTTTATCTGCAGTTTCTCGTTTTTTATTTTACCTGATGCCACACAATGTTGCCCACACAGAAAGAAATGTAGCTGTGGTATTAATCAGTTGGAGAATTTCGATCCGATAAATGGTTATTAGGATAGCAGAAAGTGATCATCGAAAGCTTTAAGCAAAATTTGTTTTCTGACTCTCTTATCGTGTATACATAAAATCAATTAAAGTATAGGAAATATACCCACTTAAAAGACTTTAATTCTTACATTCAGCTTTGGACTTAATTTTTACTTAAGTAGAGTGATAACAATATCACAAAAAATATATTAAGCTGAGAAAAGAAACAGGCCTTACATTGTTCTCATAGCAATTTCATTTGAAAAATATCAATATCTATTTTACTTTATGTCTAGTTGTTTTTTTCTCCTGTATCACTTCCGCTACGCGTTGGAAAACGAAATTGAGAAATTTCTATTTGATTTCCCATTCGGTTGTATGTATTTGCCTGGCTGTCATAAATCCCTGGTCTCCTTTTTGATCACCCCATATGCCTATTGGCCTTATCTAGGAGTGCGGCTAACCCTATCGCTGCTCCCCGTGCGACAACTGCTTGTTTAATTTACCGAATTATTTCTGATTAGGCAAGTCGTTAAAGAGCAACCCTAAGTGCCTCTGATTTCCGATGCCACTTCGATGGGGTTGTAAGTTGGAGAGTTGTTTGGGGGGCTCGAGGACCCACTGAAACACAACTGTACCTCTGATAAAAATTATTGCTTTTATTATTGTCCCATTGGGTGGAGTATCTGTTAGGTATTCAAACTGTTAAAATAAGTATATTTCTGTGGTCAGCAATGTTTCCAAAATATATGTAAATTCGGTTACTTACTATGGATATCAAATTTGATATGACATTAATGTTTCACAATTGTTTAATAGCTTACGTCATATATTCTTGTATCCCTTTAAACGTGGCTTCAATTGGTTTCCCATATTTTATATATCTGTTATATAGCTAATCGAATGTAAAAACTTCCTATCAAATTAGAGGAACATAAATTATAAGAGAAAATTGCATCATTTGATATTTATAGATAAAATATATACACTTGGCTTATCGGGACAGCCGAGATCTGAACAGTCAGCTATTGAGGAAATCAATATGAAAACTGTTATCAATGCCCTCCTCTGGTTCACTATTTGAATATATCTTTTGGGAAGTTTTTATGAAATTTAACTTTTTCAAAAATGTTACTTTGTGAATATTTTAGGGATTAAAACTTAGAAGTATACCCTTTCAAAATTGGGTTAAAGTCACAACATTAAGTATTTCATTCTGAAATCGAATCATTATCAATTACAAAATATTGGTGTTGATTGTTGAAGGAGTCATCATTTCAGTTTAACATTCTGAACTCGGTTCAAAGTTGGAAAACTTCAGGGCTCTGGATTTTTTTTAATGTGGTTCCCTGTCGATAATTTTGATGTGTGTTTTCCTCGCTTTTCCTTTCTGGGTTATCTCGGGGTGACTATCTGTGCTTATCAATCGGATCGATAGTCGGGCCACCATATTGTTTTGCATAATTGCGCCAGGCGGCCGGCGATAAGTGTGCCCTCATCTCATCCCCAACCCCCGAAGTCGGATTTGGGACATGGCAATCTGCTCCTGCCAACCATTATCATCCCCATTAGGCGGGCATTTGGGACATCTGCATCGCACCATGTTCATCGGCTGGTTATCTTATCCGGGTCGAGCTGGCCAGGATCGCAAAGGGGTTGGTGGCTTGGTCGCTTGGTGGCCTGGTGGCCTGGACCTGGGGGCCTATAAAAGCCCGGTTCACCTGCTGGCTGCCATTCACTCGGTTACGTGCGATCGATCCACGTAGGGCCTCCCAAAAGCCCGCATAAAGTGTTAATTTCCACTCAGTTATTCAGTTATTTTCCTTGGCATTCGGTGTGCTCAGTTTTGGCCTAAAAACAGTTCAGTTACAAAAGAAAAGAATTCGAAGTCAAACGCGATTTGCATTTGAAAATCGTGTGAAATTTCATTCAAAGAAGGCCACTCGCATTTTGTAAATTGTTCTTTTATTTTTTGTTCTTGTTTGTTCTTTGCATTTAATTTTATTGCCGGAAGTTTCTCTACGACTGCAGTTTTTTTTTTTCGTGTGTTCTGGTGTGTACTTTTTCGGTATTTATATTGGGTGAGTTGAAATAAAGGTTTTTTTTTTGTAAATTCCCATATGCAACAGGCAGCAGCGGCAAATTAGTCTAATTGTCAAATTTAAAAACGCAATGATTTGGTGGGCGCATTACGGTCAGGAATTAAAATCCAAAAACCCTCGACACGAGGCAGCGAACACGCAGCTGGCGTTGATAATGAGTTACCAAAAACTAAAAATAAAGGGGAATTAGGGGAGAAGTTTGGACCGACTTCCATTGTTGAAGAGACAGATTAGGCAGACAAGTATGTTTTTTAAAAATATATTTACGTTTTTCGAGTTAAAGAATGTAAAATTCGTTTATTTAGAATATAAAATTCCAGGTTTCTTAAATTTAATTTCATTATTTTATTATTACGTTTTTATATCTGACGCACAGGATTAAGTTTCTTATTTTTATATTTGTATATATTGATTTGGAAAAAAAGGAAAACCTAATTTTGTAATAGTAAAATCATCTTATAAACAGTTTCATGTTTCCTTTAACGATATATTTGTTTACAAAATAATTATAAAGTTAGAAATTAACATTGTTTATAAGATTTCCAGTAAGCATTATTTATTTTTTTGTGCTTTATCTACGCAATTTATATAAACCAAAATCGTGCGATATCTGACCAATTCGAACCAAGATGACCAATTCCACCAGATGGCGCCACTCAATGTCATTAGGCACCGGAAACGCGCCATATTTGCCATATTGACTGGCCAAATCAGATTTTACTGCGTGTTTTTCGAACACAAGCTACGTAGTATAGACATTGGAGGTATTAAATAAATGAATGAGCAGCAGCACTCCATATGCATAATCATAATTATCCGGCAAATCGTGGAGCTCTCCTGATGGCGATTGGCGTTCATCTTGCACAGATTTCATTAGAGCGGAAATGCTGATTGGTCGCTTGGTTGGCTCACTCGTTTGGGTCAGTGGGTGGTGGTGGGTGGGGTGGTCCGTTGGGCAGGTGGTTACTCCATTTTTTATACATATATATTTTTTTATATTTTTTTTTTGGACACGTCAACCGTCAAGAGGTAGAGCGAAACCGAAAACCGAATCGAGTTCCATTTGATAAACGCGGTTTGTTACGCTCGGCCAAACTGTGTCAAATGTGTCCCAGCTGCACTTGTTGCTACCTTAGTTTGCCCCCCTTTTCTCCCCTCCCCCCCCCTCCCCCTTTCCCCCCCAAAAGCACCTCGATTATTGGGGGACTGTGGGCGACATTTCTCCATTGGCCACGGATCGCGAGGTCTCCGTGTCCGATATTTCATCGTTCTAAACGTTTCCATTTTCCAGCTTTCCGCCCTTTCTGCCGTTCAAATTCGACATGGTTTATTTTTCATACTCCGGGTCTAAAAGCGACTAATGAACAGGAGCTGTTGAAATTTTAGACAGACCATGTAGTTTCCTCATTGTTTTTTGTTAGTCTTCCAGATTGGAAAAGAAAAGGACTTTTTAAAGTAAATAAGTTCTTCAATTTGTATATAAACTTTCAATTGAATTAGATTTAGATTGCCTCGAACATATTATATATGTTGTGGTCTACATAATTTTTAGAGCCCAACGAGCATTAATTTTTAAATGATTCAGTTGACTCCTTAATTTAATAAAACCTCTTTAAGAACATTATGGCAATCATTTATATAGTTTATTCTTAATAATGCTTGTTCAAAACATTCATTGAGGAATATAATTTTAAATTTGAATTCCTCTACTGATGTGAATTATATTTAATTTTTTTCCAAAAACCATTTGTGTGTTAAAAATGCAAACAACTTGCTTTTGATTTTACCAGTGTAACTCTTGTTCATGGAGATCTTCATTATTTTTGTTGTTCATATTTTTTTTTAATAACGTATTTGATAATCGTTGTAACTACGGTGGGGACCTGCACTTATGGTCAGCGAAATCATTCAGCTATGATGATGGCGATGATGATAATGCAATCATGAAATGTGGCTGCTGCTGCTGCGTTGTATTTTGAGCTCATCTAGGCACGAATGAAAACGACAATTTTTCGTTGGACTGCCTGGTATTTTTTGTGCAGTTGTTGTCACCGCCCAGCCACCCAACCACCCACCAATTCCGCCCACCAATTCGACCATCCCCCCCTCTCCAGTTCCCAGAAACTGACCCACGGCCAATGAGATGTCAAACGTTGCATGTCGCTAAGTGCAGTTGCAGTTGCAGTTTAAGTTGCTGCTGCTGTTGCTGTTGCTGCTGTTGCTGTTGCTACTGCTGTTGCTGCTGCAGTTGTTGTTGCTGTCAGTGGAGACCTGCAATTATTTTATAACATTTGTTGTTGCTGATGACTGACATTGTTCGGCTGCCCGTGGGTTCCTATAAACAATCAACGAAGCGAGCGGCCAATTTTCACTAACTGCCGCCAACAACTTCAACAACTCCGAACCAGCAAACGGCGAAACGTGGAAAATGGAAAATGAGCCAGAAAATGAGGTGGCATTTTCCAGCACCGCAGGTGGAAATGCTCTTTTAAAGTTTCTAATTTAACATATTTTAAAGTCAACAATTTTTTGAACTAAGGAAAGATCAAGAAACCTATTTTCATAAATTTTATTCATTACAATTATTCAAGATTGTTTCTATGA